GGCTTACCTGACATCCCATGACCACCACCACCATCACTCCTTTAAGAATCATCTGAGAAAGGATCTGAATGTCTAATTGCCTTTTTTATTCCACTTTCCCATACTCCTGCCTTCTGGACCACCTCTCTTGACATCAGAACTCTGACAAGAAATGACCAAGCCTGACACCTAAATTAGGTTCCTAAGATGATGTGTACCAGCCGTTCCCTTCAATGCTGCTAGGTCCCAACTTATTCAGGGACGTTAGAGAGGGAGAAGAGGGAGGCATGGGTGGTATGAATTAGAACTGAAATTCAAATATGGCTTGCACTGCAAAATAAAACAGAAGGCTAACCTACAAGGAGGGCAGTGTAATTAGGCAAAGGTACAATTAGAGAGGTAAGGTAGCATTTTAGAAAGCACAAAGAGAAAATGCTTCTGCAAATGTATTCAAGGTTAAGGCATGAAGGGCACCTGGGTAGCTCAGTGGTTGAGCATCTGCCTTCGGCTCAGGTCATGATCCTGGGGTCCTAGGATGGAGCTTTCTTGTCCCTCTGCCTATGTCTCTGTCTCTCTCTGTGTCTCTCATAAATAAATAAAATCTTAAAAAAAAAAAGACATTTAAAAAATCTACATTTCCAGTTGCTATGAGCAAAAAAAAAAAGGCACAGTAGCAAAAAATGCTACCCATCTTCCCTAAATACTACTGGTCTTTCATGTTATTCATTTCCTTTCTTTTCATAATTAACTTGAGAGTTAAGAATAGCCTGGAAGTTAAGGTTAGATTGCCTGGGGTTAAGAATTCTCTGTTTACCACTCATTCACTTCTTAACCCTTTGCAATATAACCTCTACCTCAACATGCTGACAAAATTGAGATAAAAAAAAACAAAACAAAACTGGTCTCTCCATCTGATGCTCCAGAAAAACTGCAAATACGTAGTGACTCCTTTCTGAATAACTATGGAATGATGAGGTCCTGCAAAGTGTCTGAAATGACAGACCAAGATAAGAAAGTCTAGCTAAGAAACGAAGTGAGGACAGGAGGGGACTGATATTACAAGGGCAAAGTAAAAGGGTAAAGGAAGTTGTGTTGTCCAATATGCCTAGAATTGTCTGCTGGCTATAAAATCTAGATGAAGTTCTCTTTACATTCTCTTGCTCTTAATCATTTTATTAGATACACTTGCCATAAGCTATTGGCTTAGTACTACTTATAAATATTCCAGCTGACTGCTAGATATGTCTTCTTGAACATTCCATTAGCATCTAAACAAATCATGATCCGCCTTCACCCTAGATTTCTTCCATGACTTGACCATTATATTCCGTTAATAGTATACCTATATTCTCCATTTTTTATGTTCAAAATAGTTTTGTGGTTCTAACTCTATATCTAATGAGTCAAACTGTGTATATTCTTCTCAGTACCTCTAAAAGCTGCCATTTCTCTTCCATTTGCAGTATAATTAACCTAATTTTAAGGTCTTATTACCTCTGCCTAGAGAGAAAGCCTCCTACATGAATATCCTACTACCAACTGGTAGTAGAATATCCCACGGTACTCCATTCCAAATATTTCCTCAAAATACCCATCTTAGAGGTCAAAGTCAAATTTATATCAAGTGTACCTCTTTGTATCACTTTCTCTACATTAAGACCTTCTATGGCTTATTTCGTACTTTTTTTTTTTTTTAAGATTTTACTTATTCATGAGAGAGACACACAGAGAGAGAGGTGGAGATGTAGTCAAAGGGAGAAGCAGGCTCCAAGCAGAGAGCTCGACGTGGAACTGGACGTGGACCTGGATCCCGGGACTTCAGAATCACTCCCTGGGCCGGAGGCAGGCGCCAAACCGCTGAGCCAACCAGGGATCTCCATTGTACTATTCTTTTATGTAAATCCACTGATACAGTACTGTCTCACCTAGGTGCCTTCGCCTATGCTATTCCTTCTATCTACAATGCTTTCTTCCCCCACCTCCCTGCCCCTCTTGCTGCCTATCAAGTAGTTAAGAGTACCGAAAACAGACTGCTGTCTTCAAATCCTGCTCTGCCACTTGCAACTCGTAGGACTTTAGCCAGGTTACTTAATGTCCCTATGCCCCCATCTTTAAAGTGGATTTATAAGTTGTACTTGACTCACAAGGCTGTTCTGAGGATTGAACAAATTAATGCATGTAAAGCACTGAATAGCACCTAGAACAGAGTATACAGTAATGCTAGCAATAATTAATAAGTCATTTTAAAGGTCTACTAATAATTCCCTCCACTCTCACACAATTAAAGTCTCCCTCCCTTATATTCCCACAGCACTGTACATCTATACTATTTTTTCAGTTAGTCTTAAATTACAGTTCCTTGAGACAAGAGGCTATTATGCATCTTTCTTTATCCCACGGTATTCCGAATTCCAAATTCTTTCACAGAATTTAAGCACACAGACTTAAAAAGCAACTTTTTATAGGAGAGCTCTGTGTGGCTAGAAGAGTACAAAAGAATTTGAGATGAGCTGTGAATGCAAGCATCTGCAGGTGAAGAGTGATAGCCAGAGTTTATGTCACACAGGTGGGCTGGGTTTGCTACTTCATTCATTCATTCCTTCATTAACTTCACAAATATTGCTGAGTCCTCTGCACTAGACACTGGGCAAGCTGCTAGCAGTTCCCTGTCACAAGACTATAGGGTATGTATAACCACAGAAGATTATGGTTATTTTGAAAGCAGCAGAAACCTGATGAACCAAGGATTTCTTTTGACCCAAACATTACTTACTTATATAAGCTATTCCTTGAGGTCATTTAAGAGCTACCTTAGTTAGCATACACTCCACAGTAAGAACACTGTTTGTCTTTGGGTTGGGTGGAGTGAAGGTATTTTTTTCTATTTATCCTACGTGAACATCAATTGATTTTCAAATATTTTTTTAAATTTTTTAAAAAAACTTCAAAAAGTCTGAATCAATTTTTTTTTTATTTACTTATTCATGAGAGACGCAGAGAGAGAGAGAGAGGCAGAGACACAGACAGAGAGAGAAGCAGACACCAGGCAGGGAGCCGGATGTGGGACTCGATCCCAGGACTCCAGGATCACGCCCCGGGCTAAAGGCAGACGCCCAACCGCTAAGCCACTGAGGCGTCCCTCTGAATCAATTTAAAAATACTCATTTACTACAGCTCACACATGTTATAAGCTTTGATTATGTTAATATCTTCCTGTTTTTTGGGTAACAGAATGGTATTAAACCACAATATTTTTAACTGAGCAGTCTTCCCCTCAAGAATGCAAGTTCTTAACTGCTTGGTTGATGCTTGGGTACTGTACTTAGTAAAACTATATGGCTAACAGAATAAAACACAGGGCTCAGAATGTATCAAATATTAAGACAATATATAAAGTATGAACACATGTACACATATAAAACCTGGATGGATATTCACCAAAATATCAATAATGTCTAGGTGGGGAAAGTGGAATGATTTTTTACATTGTTCTTTATACTTTTCTGTACTGTCCCAATATTGTTATAATGATCATACCTTATTTTCATGAAGGCATTGAAATTATTAATAAAAACAGATGATGGGTAGTAGTGGTTTAATAGCTGCCACATTTGCTAGACAGGATCTAGATCATTGCTACTTAAAAGGATGATCCTGAGACCAGCAATATCAGCATCGCCTTGAGTTTGTCAAAAAATAACACAACGACTCTACTATAGACCTACTGATTTAGAATCTGCACTTTAACAAAATCCTCAGGTGATTTCCTATGTATGTTAAAATTCCCCTAACTCTGGGAAACGAACAAGGGGTAGTGGAAGGGGAGGTGGGCGGGGGGTTGGGGTGACTGGGTGAGGGGCACCGAGGGGGGCACTTGGGGGGATGAGCACTGGGTGTTATGCTGTATGTTGGCAAATTGAACTCCCAATAAAAAAAAAATTAAATAAATTTGAAAAGCACTGACCTAGAAGCTAAGGCCCTTAGATGCAGCAATAATCAGAACAATACCTTGTTCATCTCAGCACCTAGCAGTGCCTGAAACACATCTATACTTGTTGAATAAACAAACATGTAAATGTTATTATTTCTGAGCAATTAGAAAGGCAGAGAAAAATAACATTTATTTGAATTATTTTCCGCCAGGGTTCCTAGAAACGGGTGTTTAGTATCTGCTGCAAATGCCATTAAATTATTACGATAACAATGTTGGCCTCAACAACCTACTTCGAGTGACTACATGTAATCTTTTAAGAGACTTTGCTCACCGCTCAGGGCCAGACGTCTCCTTCAATGATTTCTCCAGCCTCCCACCCACGGGCACATCCTCTAGTCACTCTAAAAATCTATCCTTCGGGGGATCCCTCGATGGCTCGGCGGTTTGGCGCCTGCCTTTGGCCCAGGGCGTGACCCCGGGGTCCCGGGATCCCGGGATCGAGTCCCGCGTCCCGCGTCGGGCTCCTGGCATGGGGCCTGCTTCTCCCTATGCCCGTGTCTCTCATGAATAAGTAAATAAGTAAATCTTAAAAAAAAAAAAAAAGTCTATTCCTCAAAGCAAATTCATTTCAAGATCTTTAACTACCACCCTCTGAGACAACTTACTATTTAAGTTCCCAATGTGCGCACTCCATCTGCCTGTATTTCCAAGTCTACTTCCTACGCCTCAAATTCAGCATGTTCGAGATTAACGATTTTATTCTCCATCAACTCTCCCCCTCCCCCATGTCAGAAGAGAAGGCTTGAAGGCTGCTCCCCACTCTTAGGCTCCTGTTGAACCCACCGGGAAAGCATCAGGATGAGAGAGAGACGGTTAACGGGGTCGCCCCTCCCTCCCGCGGGCCCAGGAAGCGGCCCGCGCTGCGGGAGGCGTCGAGGTCCCCGCCCTCCCCGCCCCTCCAGCCCCTCCAGCCCCTCCGGCCCCGGCCCTACTCGCCCGCGGGGCTGCCCCAGGCCGGCGGCTCTCGGTGCGTCCGCGCCCTCGCACCCGCCGCCCCACGGCCCGCCGCGCGCCCGCCGCCGCTCACCCCCCAGCGCCGGTGCTCCCGCCAATCCCGAGACGGCTCTCACGACCCTGCTCCGACGTCGCCGCCCCGAGCAAAGTCCCACGAGGGTCCCGGTCGCCCCCCCCCAAACCGCGCCTGTCCCAGGATGCGGCTCTTCCTCGCGGACCCGCTCAGGGGCGTGGGAGGGGCTGTCCCGGCGAACTGCCTCGCTCAGGGCCGCCCCGCCCCGGCCGCTGCGGGGAAGCAGGTGCCCGGAATGCTGGGGATGCACCGGGAGCGCCTCCGACCGGCCAGCGATGACGTCTGAAGGCGCACCCCCCACCCCCACCCCCCACCCCACCCCCCACCCCCGGCCCCGCGGCGTCTCCCACACCTTACCTCACCCAACAGCGGCGGCAACTCCGCTTTACGGCGTTCCCAGCAACCGCTGCAAAAGGTGCCGTCAAGCGCAGAGCCGTGGCTCCTCCGGGTGTCGTCGGGGACCGCCGCGCTGCACTGCCCCGGGCGTCTGCGCGTCCGCAGCTCCGGCCGCTGCTTCCCCGATCCCGGACGCTCTCCTGCCTGTTGCCGTCTCATCGCTTGGCACGCTGAGGCGACGTGAGGCTTGGAGCTGGAGCAAGGACCGCAGAGGCCCCAGCCGAGCTGTGCTTCTAAGAGTGTGAGCTTGCCAGGTACAGTGTAGGATGCTAAAGATGCGGATTTCAGATAAACGAGGAGGTGGTGGGGTTGTTTTGTTTTGTTTTGTTTTGTTTTGTTTTTATAGCGCGTGTGCTATGCAAAGGGATTCAGAGTGACTCCCTGAATTCTGGTCTGGGGACCATCCATCAGGTGAGACGTGGATGTAGTGGGAAATAGTCTGTTCTTGCTCAGGAGGTGGGAGATGCAGGACATCCAAGCTCCAGGGGGAAGTACACACGCATACAGTTCCGGCTCTGGTTTTCTTTCTTTCCTTTTTTTTAAGTATTTTATTTATTTATTCATGAGACACACACAGAGAAAGAGAGGAGGGGGGGGGGTTGGGCAGAGAGAGGCGGAGACACAGGCAGAGGGAGAAGCAGGCTCCGTGCAGGGAGCCCGACGCGGGACTCGATCCTGGGACCCCGGGGTCACGCCCTGAGCTGAAGGCGGCGCTAAGCCGCTGAGCCACCGGGCTGCCCCCGGCCCTGGTTTTCTTAATTTCACAGTGAAATCCAAAGGATTGGTAAGAATCAGATATGTATCGATTTTGACGGCGATTTTGTATAAAGCACTAAATACTGTAAATTTTGTTTATACAAAGATTACTATTATCAGTCCATCGTAAAAACTAAAAACACTTTTATATATTTGAGTTTTCTAAACTCTGTTTTTTGGAACATCATATAATGTTTTTTTGGGGGTTTTTTTTACCCCCGCATTTCCTATTATACCAGTTTCTTATTTTTCCTTTTAGAAATTTTCCGTGTACATACAAACTTATTTTGTCCAAGTCCTCTTATTACTTAAGAACTAGTTCTGTTAAAAAAAAAAAAAAAAGAACTAGTTCTGTATGCTTAGAACTAGTAGTTGGTAGATTCATAAAAAAGAGAACACCCAAAGGAAGGAAGTTATCAAAGGTTAAAGGGATCACTGGACACGAGTGCTAACTTGGCAGACCAAAGATGGGAAAATGTGAGCATCAAAATGAGTAACTTATTGATTGAAACACTACAGATAAAAATTCTTGACTTTATAATTTCTAAAAAATGAGAAGCACACTAGTCGTAACTGAAGATTGCCAGGGCACCAAATCTCTATCGTAAAACTTGAGGAAGGAAAAACATCAAGCATTTATCCTTTCTTGCATGAACTGTTAGCCAACATGCTAATTAGAATTCTAGCTAATAAATGAATTAAAGAACAATTACCATTTTGCTACTCCTGATGAAATAATATGGAACAACATTTATCAATAGATGTTAAAATTTAGGTGAAATATTGATGAGGAACTTTTGAACTTTATATTATTTTTTTGATGGGGAACTTATTAATAAGTGGATTAGGCTGACACCACCTGAACCCACCCCGCTGATCAATCTTATGATTGATCTGGGGTGAGACACTGTGTATGCCATGATGTGATGCAGCAGAAAGTACACACTTGCGAAGGATTCTTGCCTAAAAATTGAACCTGCACTTATTTAATCAAAACTCTAGATTTAACAAAGGGTATGTAGAGAAGCAATCAGCCAAATTCAGAATGTATGATATTCTAAGAGGTAAAGGCCCCAGTATTATCAATGGAATTTAAAGAGGAGGGAGGGAGGGAATTAACCACAAAATCAGAGACTTAAAACCAAAGGCAGTGTGTATAGACCTTGCCTGTATCCTGATTTGAAGAAAACAACCATAAAAAGACATGTTGAGGGGCTCCTGGGTGGCTCAGTTGGATGAGCATCAGACTCTTGATTTAGGCTCAGGTGATCTCAGCATTGTGGGACTGAGCCTGTATCAGGCTCCCTGTTTAGTGTAGAGTCTGCTTGAGATCCTCTCCCTCTGCTTCTGAATGCATGCCCTCACTCTTAAAAATAAATAAATAAATTTTGAGACAAAATTTTTAGATGAACAGAGCCATTAGATTATATTAAGGAAGTGCTGTTAATTTTGCTAAGAATGTTAACAGAATGTGACTGTGTTTAAAAGACTAAGTCATCATCGACGCATACTGCAATGCTTATAGGCGAAACTTTAAAAAACTTTTTAAAAGATGATACAGACATGGCAAAATTTTAGTAACTGATAAATCTGTGATGAGCATAAAGTGCTCATTAATAGCTTCTACCTCTGTATATTTGAAAGCTATCATAAAAATGAACAAGAAAAGGGAAAAATCATCAGATTCTTAGAAGTAAATACTTTTCAAATACATAACAAATCTCGTTCCATATAAACCTAAAAAACAAAAAACAGCAGTTAAAGTGAGGATTACATTGGCAATCTTTTGAGCTAAGATCTTTTAAAATACACATCAACTGATTGGAAGCTTCTCACTATTTCTCCTACATAAACCACGGGCACAATGCATCATCTACTATTCCTACTTTATTTTTTTTAAGTGGACCAAGAACTTAAACAAGTGAAACAATCAAGTCAAAGATTGAGTCCTATATTTTTGAGATTTTGTTTTTGCAGTCCTCCCCTATCATTTACAATTATCTTGGACACGACTGTCTTGTCAGTGACTTATTTTTTAGCTATCTTTAGGTTTCCCTCAACTTAGAATTTTTCATATTTGTGTATCATTGGTTTAGGTCATATTTAAATTCTATAATTAAAATGACTGACACTAGTGTAAACAGGTTTGGGAACAAACAGCTAACAGGATGTAAACACAACTCAACTGGTGGAAGCAGTACTTCTCTAGCATACCAGAGAAGCCCAGTCAGTATGCTTTAACTTGGTCAGCCAATCCAGTTGGACAAAGGGTACAAGAGTGGGTAAAAGCAGTCTCTATTATAGGCAAAGATGTATCTTTTTATTTAAAGATCTAAAGAGAGTGCACATGTGCACGTGAGGGGGGTTGGGGAAGAGAATCTCAAGCTGACTCCCTGAACTCAGAGCTCAACTTGGGGCTCAATTCCATGACCCTGAGATCATGACTGGAGCTGAAATCAAGAGTTGGACGCTTAACTGAGCCACTCAGGCGCCCCAAAGATCTTTTAAAAATTACTCAGATGTAGGTAGGGGTGCCTGGGAGCTCAGTCAGTTGAGCATTTGTTTTTAGCCCAGATCATGATCTTGGGGTCCTGGGATCAAGTCCCACATCTGCCTCCCTATTCACTGGGATTCGGCTTGTCTGCTGTACCTCTCCTCACTCGTGCTCTAATTAATGAAAAAAAAATCTTAAAAAAATATTTTAGGGGCACTTGGGTGGTTCAGTTGGTTAAGCATCTGCTTTTAGCTCAAGTCATGATCCCAGGGTCCTGGGATCAAGCACTGCATCGAGCTCTTTGCTCAGTGGGAAGCCAGCTTCTCCCTCTCCCTCTGCCTGCTGCTCCTCCTGTTTGTGCTTGCTCTGCCTGTCAAATAAACTAATAAATGTTTTTAAAAGTCTTTTAAAAACATTACTCTGCTATGGGATTACATCTTGGCCCACCCTAACATTCTGGGTCCTGGGGCAAGAGTACAAATGGAGTCTAACTCTGACATATTTTAAGTACTAAGTAAAGAACCATCAAATAAGTATGTATCCTCTACCTTGGCAAATATTCCTTCTCAAAAACAGAAATTTAGGATCAAATTTGGGATTCTCAGACATATACTGTAAAGTGTGAGCACAACTAGGTCGGCCTGTTCTCACAAGGCCCTGGTCTGTCTCCTTTTATTTCTAGTCTCAGCTTACCACAAGAGTCCTGGTATGCATGCACGTGGACACCCCGGTCTGATATCTAAGCCCCATCCATCATGAACTGCCACTCCTTTAAGTGTTTTATATATATATATATATATATATATATATATATACTGTAGCACAGTCTGTCTTCAGGATGATTTCACAAAGAGGCCTGCATCTGTTCTGGAATCAAGCTTTGGGCTGGTCAGGCAGGGAGTTATGGGGTTCTGGCTGTCTGATGCATAGTGGATAGGGGAACATGAATTTCCAAGTGGGTGCAATCCTTTGGGTTCTTCTTCAGTCTGTGAAGAGGCACAGCCAGTATGAGGATCAGGGCAGGGATCCCTCTTGCCCAAGTCTAGGTGCGCATATACCCCCATGTGTCACACCATACATACTGTTAGACTTGCTCTTTCCATTTCATATCATGAGTACCCTTCCATTAGTAGCATATTCTGGAACAGGTGTGTAGGGTTACTTGGAAGCACCATATTCTAATCATTGTGGTGACCTTGTGCAAAAGGGGCATAAACATACTACTATTCCCATGCAGTGTAAATGTAAAATACAGTTTAACAAGGGAAACACTTGGGACAGAAGTAGAGTGCACTCGATTTCCTGAGTTCTTATCCCACAGAGATTCAGACAGGCACAGAAGGACTGATATTCATGTAAAGGACTCTAATTGAGGAAACCAACCCCCATGATAGTCTACGTATTTGTAAAATTTATTGGGGAAAGGGCATGCAGATTATATCTAGAAAAGTATGTAACAATGATATCTTGTTAGTGCAGCAAGTTAAAAAAGGGGAGTCTTTGGAATTCTGGTAGCCTATCTTTTCTTCAATTGACAGTTAGGTTGCTTGTATTTTGCTCTTGTAAAGCTATAATGAGTACTGGCTTATTTGTATGTAAGACAAATACCAATAAATGGAATTAGCTGTTCGAAGGTATGTGTATTTAATATTGCTAAACTGTTCTCCACTTCATCTTCTATAGGAGGGTACTGGTTTCTCAGTATCTATGTCACACTTCTCTCCCTATGACTCAAGAGGATCCAGTCTCCCTTCATTCTTCTTTTGGTGAAAATAACCATAGTTCGGAGCTCTGGTCTCATTTAGTCATTGATTGGTTTTCTTTTTTCTCCTAAACCAATTTCAAGTTAGGAAACACATTTTAAAAAGGCTTAGATTCTGGTTCTGACTCTTTTAGCTACAATCTGCCAAAATGTAACCCAAGATGTGACAAGCTTCAAAGACAGAAACTAAGTCCTGGATTTATATTATAGCATGTTTCATCTTTCATTTATAGCTGCACTGTACAAAACTGTAGGGAGTAGTAAGATGTGGCTCTTTACATTTAAATGAATTACAATAAAAAATTCAGTTTCTTAGCTGAACTAGTCATATTTACAGTGCTCGAGAGCTGCCTGTGGCTCCTGGCTACCATGTTGGACAGCACAAATATTGAACTTCCCATCACTGAATAAAATTCTGTTGAACAGTACTGCTCTAAAATATAAGCTTGTGGGGGCTTTTTTATCTTCTCATTCCCAACAGCACATTGTAGATAGTTAATGAAGGTTGATAAAAATGCAAGCACTGAAGCAAAAGAAAGCAGAAAAAAGTTTAATTTTTAGATGAGATATTCCAGGTGCTTTTGTAAGAACTTAACTTGGTCATTCTATACAGAACATACAATCATTTCAACATACAAGTTACTCCACTTTGCATACTCTATTTTAAAGTTAAAAAGTTTCTAGTTAAAGTTTAAAAGGCTTTGTCTCGTTTCCAAGGATAATGAGGCAATATGCTTATTAAAACACTAGTTTGCAGAACTGAGTACACTTTAAGTAGTTCATTAATGTTCTTCATAACTTAAAGGTTAAACCTGAGGAATCAGAATTTTTATTATCAGAACTGCATAGAAAAACCATGTCCAGATGATAGACATACCAAATAAGCTATAGATCAAGTTAACCTATAAATCCAATTTAAAACAAAAACAAAATGTTAGGAGAGATACTAAATGATACCCAGGTTAGCAAAGTTTTGAAATGCTTCATCATATTTTTTTAATGCAACAAAAGTTGTCAAATGTTAAGTGGGCACATACACCTAATATCATTTATCCCATGACAAAAAACTACTGAATCATTTGGTTGTTTGGAAATAATTATTTGGGCTAAATTCACTCTATATGTGGCATTAAGCAGTCATAAATTGAAAGTGCAAATACCTGAATGGAAACATAGCTTAAATCATTTATTTATGCTACTATTCTACACTGACACACTAATGCTGTGAGAGACGTTTACAATTGTACAAAGTCTTGATATATAGAGTAATAAGCTTGATGCGAAAAACACAAAAAGGCCATAGGTCATGCAGAAATTAAAGAATGTTAAAGGGCATTTTAATCAGGAAGGTTTGTTTGGGTTTTTTTTTTTGAAGTCCTGGTGATACCACTTTAAGCACATGCTTTATTAAAAGAAAGAGCATCTGGAACTATCCCAACACTTAAATCCATTATTAACTGAAAATAATACCTTACATTTACATAGCATTTTATGGTGTTGAAGCAATTTCACATACTCCATTTCATTTTATTTCTCACAAATTCTCACACATGTGAGAAAAGACAAACAAGTTACAATTATTTTATGTAAGGCAGTGGAGGCCCAAAGATGAGAAATGATTTATGTAGAGGTCATAGGCCTAGATAGTATATGGTAGAACTATGGTGATTAATTTTAAATTACTTCAAAAGAAATGAAACCAAAATACTTTTTATATCATATCCAGAAATCTTAAAGATTGTGGTTTTTAATGTAGATTGATCCAAAACTTTAACTATTACATATCTTATAGTATGAATTAGTTATAAATTTGATTTTAAAGAGTCTCCCTTAAATGGTAAATTAGACTCTGTGCTTTGGTACCTTAGAGATACTGAAAATGTTAAAAAATATATATGCATTCTTATAGCCCTTAGGCTCTCCAAAAATTTCCAATACTAATAAAAAGGCCTTTTACCAATCATAATTTGACTTAATTTTAAAACTAGTCCAAACTTATGAAAACTCCAAGCCAAAGCAAACACATTCACCCACCTTCTGCCCTACATACTGTGAAATCCTGTACATGTCCATTCCCAAGGACCAACTTATAGTGAATGGGTATCATTAAGAAAATATGTTTAAACATAGGTCAAATGATTATGAATCAAAAGTGATTACCTTATATTGACCCAGAAATAACAAATACTGTTTTAATTTAATAATTGGGTACTCTGAGGAGAAAAGTACTATGGCAATCTATTATTTATAAGCCAGTACTAACCTTTATATGACAAGTCCAACAATATCTTTTCAATAAAAGCAACATATACCAAATACAGTCCATTTAAACTCCAAACTACTCAAAAAGCTGTATTTACATTAATCAAATATTCCAGGTAGCAAAGCATATCAGGTCACAAATATTTGGATAATGTGAATACTGTAAAATACACAGAAAACTAAAATTATACTGAACATGAGGTAATCGTTCTGTAGTGATTAAAGAAACATTCATGATCTATTATAACATTTCAGTACCAGCATTATGAAATGTACATTTTGGTTAAAAATAGCAAATAACTTTATGGTTACTTGGGTATTGAGTAAATTTATGCTGACTATACACTTCCCTAAGAGAATATATCCAGTTTAAAATAAAATCAAGGAAGAAAGTTTTCTAGACCCATTTTATGTGACTATATAAAAGTAAACCATGTTACAAGCAGTTAATTTGAATTTTTTATAAACTATAACAAACTTACTTTTTAAAATTTGACTTATTAGCAAAACATTGTTTTTAAGATTCAAATTTTGTCACTACTCAAAAAGGTAGTAAAACTATATGCACAATAAATCAAACTTCACTAATTGTGGAACTCTAAATACAAAGCATGGCTGCCCATATCACAGACACTTAAATATCTGCTGTATGAATTAGCTGATGAATGGACATTGATCTAAAAAATATGGGGTTTTTAAAAAAGAACGATAAAAAAAAGATAAGAATTACGATAATTTGAAAATATACTTCTTAGTATTTTTAGCCTGGAATCCACCATATTTTATACTAAGAAATCTACAGTGTCCTCTTCCAAAATTAATACTCTTTGCAATAATCATCTTCCATGTATATCCTTTTCCAACTTTTTCCATGGTTTCAAAAGAAACAAAAATAACTATAATTTTAGAAGTACAGAGAAAAACTAATCATTCTAGGTAAGTAATGAAATGGAGTATGTTACCTTAATTAAACTTTCATTACAAATTATTTACTTTTATTATTTGTACCACCCAAGAATCAGTCACAAAAAATTCAAATTATACATGATACTATTTATACTTTAATTCAACAAATGAGTAAACAAAACCAAGCCAATGTGTTTCTTTAGATGATAATATGGGAAAAAATTACTCTTTGCAGAACTAAGTAGGCCAAGTCTAGCTGTACAGTGGCTGTTAACGGTTTGTCAACATGTTACAGATGCCATCAATAAAACCCATGTACAGACAGGCACACTTCTAATACTATCAATTTGTTTACCTACACCTGGAACATTCAAAGAATTACTGTATATTAAATTGCTATGTGCGCTCAGTTATTAAATGCTTGATATATACATATTTACCAAAAGTTAAAGATGTATGTGACATAGTAAGCCCAAATAATCAAAATCAATTGTGAAAAAATTATTTTTCTAAAGTGCTTAAGGCAATTCCTTCATTCCTTTATCCAGTTTACCAAAACTGGTTTGGGATTCAACTGCTAAAAGAGAAATGCAATACTAAATGCATGTTTTTATAAAACAATTTTTTATACCTATGATACATCCATTACCGTCAACCTCTCATGCATTTCTTTTACAGAAAGCAATCATGTTTGACCTGTCAACAAATAGTAAATAAACTAATAACGTCTGAAAGGGTATACCGCCTTCCCATAATGCATTGAATTAAGCAAAAAGGCTCAATATTTTTTAATTCAAATGAAAATGAAAATGTTATATATTTAGTTACCTTAATGTGAGACTTTTTAAATAGGCACTACAGTTGATTATTTTCTATTTTGAAAATGAAGGTGGCAAACTTTTCCAGTTTAACACATATAAACTTAAAACCCTACACATTTTCTTTATATTTAGAGACCTTTAAGAAGAAGCACAGTAAGAGGGTAATCTCAGATTCTTATAATGAAGTCATAACTGTTATTACTTCAAATGAATTTTCCAAATGAATATTAGAAAATTTTATATGAAAGTTTTCAAATGATGGCATGAGCACAGGAAAGAATCATATGCACTCCTCCAGCCCCTGATTAATATTTCCTCTTCTCCATACCCCTGCAAATAGAAGGCCCTAACCAGTATAACATAATGGTCTCTGGCTTAAATATCAGTTGACACTGCATGGGACATGGAGCAAGAGCACGCTTAGAGGAAGAAGGCACTGAATTAAAGAGAAGACACAATTACTAAGACGTAATAGTAAAAAATTTTATACAAGAACATCTGGCTTTTTCTGTGTCATTTTTGCTAAAATATATACGTGTAACTGTTCGCACAAAGCCATTCCACCACTAACTCACTGCTTTCAGATTTGACTCTATGAAAGATAATTTTAACTGCCTGTTTCCTTAGGTCCTAAAATAACCCCATTGTAAGGAAAAGAACATCCAAACAATTTTTTGAAGATCTTTAAGAAGAACAAAACCCAAAATTCTACTTTGTTTGGAGAATCAAAAGGATATCTATTGACATACTTCATTCTCCCAACTGCATTGGTCTTTAAAAGTACCAATATGTCATGATATACTAGAGAAGATATAAATGTCTTCTGGAAAAATAATAGCCAGTTCAAAGGAATTTTCTCATTTAGGTTTGTTTTACCAATGAACAAAACATCCTAACAGTAAGCAGTAAACTTTAATAGGAGAGAATCCACTATACCTATTCCACAGGCCTTTCTATAATAGACAACTCAGCTGTAAGCAGCAACAATCACTTCTCGGGAGAAGGTTGTCTAGCACAATATACTTAAAATCAGAATGAAAGTCAACATGAGAAAGTAAAATCCAGAGACCACTCAAAATGCTCAAAGAATCCTTAAATACTGGAATCACAACTTTCAGTTTGGCTCAAAGAACTTGTATAACAAATTTTATCCAACCTTTAAATAATAGATACGTTCCGCTCAATTACCATATGTTTTATTCATTGTTTAACACATTTTCCCTAAGTTTGGGAAAGATTTGTCTATGATAATTTTTGGAAGAATTATACCCCTTTAGGAAATAAACGAATGTTGCAAAAGGATTAAAAGAAAAATAACATCTGAGTAGTTATGTTTGAAAAATTCATGTGGCAAGTAAGTGAAAGAGATATGTAGACCTTTTTTTCAAAACATTTGTTTAAACCCTTCCATATCTTACTAAAAACCAGACATAAATGACTTCAGTATAGTTTCAGGCACCTTCCTTTATAACCTAGCCTTTTGAGATAAAACATAAATGGTGTAGGTTTTTCTACCTAATGTATAACTTTAATAAAATTTCATTCCTACTTAAAATATTAAAAATCAGTATAGTTATCGATTATTATCAAATTCAAGTGGGAATTTTGCCAAGATAACTATTAAAGGTAGTATTGAATTAGACAACAAAATCAGAAAATAGAAAGCTTTTAAAAATTTTATCCATCATCCAAAATGATGGAGTGAAAATAAGTCTACTTAAACAAGGCAACAAAGAAAGCATATCCCTTTGCCACTGTTAGTGCAGCAGGTAAAAACTAAAGTATTGGTGATTTTTAAGCAACTATGTCTAGAAACTCTTCCTATTCACTCTATTTTGAGTTTTAACCGTAAGAGAAATATCACGACATTCGGAAAAAAGAAAATGATACACAATCTAGTCAGTAAACAAAAGAGGATAATTTAGCAAAGTTCAAACTTATTTATAAAAGGAGAAAAACAAACCATTGTAAGAAAGCCTTTCTAGAATCCTGAACCAATTATTTCAATTTTTAGAAAACCTTAGAAGACTGTTTTTTTTTTTTTTTTTTAAAGCTTCAGTGTATGAACCTAGTAACAGTGTGATGAGATAAAGTATAGAGGAAAGACGACAAAATTTAATGCTTTCCTCTCAGGTCCTAGGGCTACCATATGTAACTAAACATAGAAGAGCCAAAGTAACCCAAGAAACACAAAAAAAAAATGAGTTTTATATAACTTTTTAACACTGCCTTTCTTCCCATTTACTCTTCAAAACATCAGTTTCTTGTGTGGTATCTGCTTGCTTGATGATCCTGCACAGTAGGTTCCTGTGAGTATTTTGTACTAGATTCTTAATGCTAATACATTCCAGGCCTTAAAGCAGAGTGTAGCAAACCTGATTTCCACCACTCAGAAATTTCTGGGATTAGTAACTGCACAGAAAAGGCCACCCAATCAAAAAGGGGGTAAACATATTCTGAGTTAAGCATTACTGAGTAACATTGTTGAGGCTGCTAGCTGAACCCGTCATGCCATTTTCACTTTTCTGAAGTGTTCTCACAGCACTTGGCACCTGCATCCCAGTATTCAAAGAAAGTCCACCACACCAAACCTAAGAAAAGGTGAAACAAAGCTTCAGTTAGATTTCAAATCAAATTAGAACTTAGGTGATCCTTAAAGTTCCATTTGAAAGGCAAAATGCCACATATGTGAACAAGTGAACAAGCTCCAAACTGATAACCTTCATATGTGAACTGAGGGGATGTTGGAAAGGCTAACTCAAGAGTCTTAGAACCACAGAGGCGAGAGGGAGTCTTTACGGTAGAAGAACACACTGGAACTACATGTAAGAGAAGAAACTAAGGGCTGTAGAAATTTAGAGATTAACTTTTTAGGATTAATAGGCAAAGGATATTGGCTATTATTACTGATGCTAAACTTCACAATAAGAGAAGTGCAAAAAGAGCCAATTTCCTTATCCCAATTATTTCTTTAGATTATGATAATGAGGTGTGGCCTGAGACTATAGGAATCTAATGTTCCTGTGTTAACAGTAAAATCCATTATTTTTTCCCTAACTTGTTAATAGTAAGAACTCTTTACAATTCTTTAAGGACTTCTGAGAAAAATGCAAATGGCAATATCCACATATACCACATTGCCATAGTCTATCTATTATGAATGTGAATAAGTTCATGAAAGATGAAACTGCTTTGCTTGTAAACAGAGTAAGTATCATTCAATAAGATGAACAATAACTGATTTGGAACAGACTCAAAAGACTTAAAATATGTGAGAATGGATCATTTAAATTATCTTAAGTGCCTGGTTTGTAGTAGACATAGCTTGAGACAAGGGACCTAGAAACTGTTGAAGTATTACCACCTTCAATTATATCCTAAAGTGTTCAATATTTACTAAGTGACTACAGTACTGTACCAAAGGATTTATTAACATGTGAAGTTAATAGCTGTATGATTAACATTCCAAACTTTTAAAACTAGCATGTTCAGTAATGATAACTCCCAACATACAAAAGCAGCTCTGTGATCATAAAACCACTATATTACTTTTTTGTAAATTATTTAAGTGATTAACATATTTATTTGGAACATCGAGCACAAAGGTGCAAGGGCAAGTCAATGAAGAAAGATTAGTCTTTTTCAAAGTGGTACTGGAACACTTGGAATCCATATGCAAAAAATCAGACCTGGTACCATATACAAAAAAAAACTCAAAATGGATCGCGGGCCTAAATGTAAAATGTAAAACTGTAAAACTTTAGGAAGAATGCAAAAGAAAGTATCTTTGTAACCTTGAGTTAGGCAAAGCATGATCTATAAAAGAAAAAAATGGATAAACAGGACTTCATTAAAATGAAAACCTTCTCTTCAAAATGTTCAGAAAATGAGAAAAGCCAAACTGGGAGAAAATATTTGCAAAACAGTTATTTGCTAAGGGACTCATATCTATTATACATAAAGAAGGCTTAAAACTCATTAATGAGAAAACAACCCAATAAAAAATGAACAAATAGTATACACTTCACCAAAGAAATACAAATGGCAAATAAGCACATGAAAAATGCTCAATGTCATTTGTCCTTAGGAAAATTTGAAACCCCAATGAAATACAATTACATGCCTATTACAATTGCTGACTAATAAAATATCTGACAATATCAAATAGTGGCAAGGATGTGGTGAACTTTCATATATTTCTAGTAGAAATGCAAAAGTCATACAGCCACTTTGGAAAACAATTCGGTAGCTTCTTTTAAAGATAAACATGCACTTTCAATGTGATCTAACACTCTCACTCCTAGGTATTTATCCAAGAGAAATGACAATGAATATTCACACAAAACCCACTTGCAAATGTATACAGTGCCTTTATTCAAAATTGCCAAAAACTGTAAAGAATCCAAAAGTCCTTCAGCTGGTAAGTGGATAACGTTTGGTACATACATACATAGTCAACAATTAAACACACACTCCTCACCAGTAAGAAAGAAAGGCTACTGATAAACACAACATTGATGAATTTCAAATGTATTATGCTACAGAATCAAAAGTCTATTGGGGATCCCTGGGTGGCGCAGCGGTTTGGCGCCTGCCTTTGGCCCAGGGCGCGATCCTGGAGACCCGGGATCGAATCCCACGTCGGGCTCCCGGTGCATGGAGCCTGCTTCTCCCTCTGCCTGTGTCTCTGCCTCTCTCTCTCTCTGTGTCTATCATAAATAAATAAAAATTTAAAAAAAAAAAAAGTCTACATACCATACAATCCCTTTTCTGTAATATTATGGAAAAGGCAAAAACTGTAGAGTAAAACCTGGTTAGTGACTGCCAGGGACAGGTATGATCAGAGAAGTCCACAACAAAGGAATGACTTTTCTAGGGTGATAGAAATGTTTGAGGTCTTGATTACGGTGGTGTTACACAACTATATGCATCTGTCAAGTCCCAAAGAACTGTACACTCCTATACATTAACCTCAGTAAGCTTATTTTTAAAAAGAAAATTAATCTTGTACACAAAAAAATTTAAGTTACCTAGTAATACAGCCTTCAATGAAGGAAAAAAATAATTCCAACCAGTTTGAAGATACATTTCCTAAAGCATCTTTCAACATTTACCAATAAATCGTGGTTTAATTATTTGGAACAGAAAGCAGTAAACTCACTCTATATCTATGTGAGACAGACTCAAATTAAACATGAAATCTACCCTCTGAGACACAGGGAAAAAATTACTTTGAGTTTCATATGCTAAAAAAATTTGTTCCTGATTGACCTATTTGGAAAAACAGCCAAAAACACATAATACAGCAGAGGTTTCTGGCAAAGTAATAATAACCTTTTTCTAAATACCTAAGTATTTTTCTATGAACAATAACTTTATTCACTGATCCCTTTTACTTTTAATGAAAAACCAAAGTTATTAGGACTTTTAAATTTAAGATTTTAGGGTACCCAAGGTAAATAAATTATCATTATCAATTGTGAGATTTAAAAGTACTGTTTTAACCCCACATACACCTTGAATATGTTCTCTTCATAGTTAGAAGCTGCAGTCAGGATAATGATGAAGATCACATATACAAAACTTTCTACAAGCTCTGCAATGGAAATATACCGTTCTGATTGTAGAAGTAGCACCCGACTTAAGCCAGAATACTGAGGATCTCATCTGTACTGCAGAACTCCCCACAGTAGCCCAAACTACAGACAAATGCAAAGGATAAAGGATAGGAAGAAGCAGTAACATCTTCTTAATTAAAAAAAAAAATTCAAACCACATTTTATTTTGTGTAGAATCATGACCTTTTCTTGTATAAATCAACCTGAAATGGAGTAGTCCTCAAATTATGTATGTGTGTCTATGTATGTGTCTGCCTACCACACATAGACTCATCTAATATTTTATAAAGATGACACCATACTGCAACAGAAAAAGGATCTTTGGGGCACCTGGATGGCTCAGGGGTTAAGCGTCTCCCTTTGGCCCAGGTCGTGATCCTGGGATTGAGTCCTGCATCAGGCTCCCTTCAGGGAATCTAGTTCTCCCTCTGCCTCTGTCTCTGCCTTTCTCTATGTATCTCTCTTATGAATAAATAAATAAAATCTTTTTAAAAGCTTTACAAGAAAACAAGAGTATTTTCATAACCTTGGGGGGTGAAAATGACTTCTTAAATAGAACACAAAAGTGCTAACCATAAGTTTTTATCTTAATAAATTGAGCAATATTAAAATGAACTTAAAAAAAATAAAATGAACAACTTTTGTTCATCAAAAGATACCAGTAAGACAGGGAAAAGGAAAGCCAGAGTGAAAGAGAAATTTGCAATGCATGTATCAGTATGTAAACCACTCAAGAACCCAATGGATATATAAATGATGAAATACTCATCTAAATGGAAAACAATACATATAAATATAATGGAAAACTATGTAAGAATGAATAAACTATCACCACATAGAACAACATGGATAAATCTCACAAACATAATGCTGAACCAAAAATATATTTATGATTTATACAAAGTTGGAAAGGAGACAAAATGAATTTATGGTATTAAAACTCAAGATAGTAGCCACTTTGCCAGTTGATCCTAGGGGCTAGAAATAGGCACAAAGGGGTTTTGATAATGAGGTTCTAATAATGTTCCATTTCTTGATCTAGACACTTGTTACAAAAATGTGTGCAGTCCTATGAAGATTCATCAAACTGCATTCTTATAATAATTTTATGTAATAATATTTACTTCAATAAAAATACCAAAAATATAGAGACAATCACAGATTTGGGAGAGAGAGATTAGGGAAAGAGGGAAGAATATAAAGAAAAAAATAAGGTATTTGGCTTCCCCAAATATATAGCACAGATTTTTCTCCTTAAAGTTGCCAAGCCAAAGAAAATATAAATTAAGTACTAACCATGAAACCAGGTAGTACCGGCTGAGTAAATTTTGTCTTAAAGGAATACAACAACTGTTTTGAGCTTGCATCATAGAAAGAAAGTTGACCTAAAAGGGGAAAAAAAAGCCTTATTATACAAAAACATTTTATTAAATCTAACACAAAATCATGGGTAAAAGTAGTAACTTATTACATATTTTGGCACTTTTTTTGGTTACAAATTATACAGACTGGACTCAGAAATTCTCACTAGAAAATTAGTACACATGCTAAGGAAAAGCCAAAATCTAATTTTCTTTCCTGATTTTCAAGATCTCCATAGTGCTTCCATAATCTGGCACTATTCTACTTACTCAACTATAAACTGTTTCTTTACTTTATCATTATTTAACAAATGGTTTTCTTAACTCAGTAAAAACCGGGCTATTTCTTCCCATTCTTGCTATAACCAGCTTCTCTATGCAATTCCTATCTTCATTTAAGGCTTACTCTATCAAACCTTGTCTTCTAACCACTTGAAGCCATACTCATTTCAGTCTCTGAAATCATAATTATCACTGCTTCAGCTTTTTAAATTTTTTTTAAGATTTTACTTATTCATGAGAGACACAGAGTCAGAGAGAGAGAGAGAGAGAGAGAGACAGGAGAAGCAGGTTCCATGCAAGGAGCCCAATATGGGACTCGATCCCGGGACTCCAGGATCATGCCCTGAGCTGAAGGCAGATGCTCAACCACTGAGCCACCCAGGCATCCCACTGCTTCAGCTTTTCTAATTTTTAAAATACCTTCACAGTCTTTCAATATGATCATGCAACTAAAATTACTGTCTTTCTAACCACTTAACTGTCCAATCTGATGGCCTCCTTACATCTATTTCCACTTCTTGAAATTCTATCCCATGACTTCTCCACATCTCTAACCCTGAGGATACTTCCTGTCTCCTTTTCTCCTACTCTGAATGTAGGCACTTGTCCAGGCTCTGTTGTCTCTCTACAATGTTCCCTCAATGACTCAGCTACCACAAAACAAAGAAGAGAAACTATTATTTATGTCTACCATTAAAGCACTGGGTTCTTCATATATATTACCTCAAAACATTAGCCAAACTAGGTATGCTCACAAAGTTAGTAAACAGTAGAGCAGTCTGTGAGATCTTCAGTAGCCACTCTGTGATGCCGTGTCTAAGTTTCAGCTTCAGCTCTAGTCTTCTGAGTTCTACCACTGAATTTCTAAGTATTAGCCAGCTGTGCCATATGGTTGTCCTGATGGCAGCTCATCTTTCTCCAGGACTATGTTCCCATGCTTCTGATCACATACCATCCTCTTGACCACACTGGCTGGAATCTCAGTCATTTTCAACTGCTCTTTGTTTACCCTCCAATCCATATTTAGTTATTGAGCCCTATAACTTCTACTACTACTCACTATCAAATCCATTCCTCTTGATCCATACTGCTCAGGCCCTGTTAATACTAATCACTGAACCAGTACTTATTAAGAGCTTGCTATGTAAAAAGCACTTGTCAGGCAATAGGAATATAATACTTAATAAATAAATATGGTCCTGCCTACACTGTTTAAAGACTGACTCCTGAAAAGTCTTACCCTATATTTGCAATCTTTTTCATATTTAACCACATACTCTCCAATATTTCTAAAACTAGATTACCATCATATATGACTATAGTTTTCTAAAATGCCCAGAAACTCCTTTCCCTCAAGTACTAAAAAAGACAGCCTATCATTATTTGTCAAGGCCCTCAGAATCTGATCCCATCCTACATTAACAACTCTTTCCTGTACCCTATGTTCTAGGCTAGCAATTACATTTCTCACTACTATTTTTGAGGAACCATGAAGTATGAGAAAAGAGACAGAAAAGGGTAAGAGCGAGTTATCTTGAGAGTTGAAAAAGAATAAAATGTGTATATATGTCCTGAGGAGAATTATTTATTTGATTCAAAGTGAGTAGATAAAAAAGAATGCAGCAAAACTAACATATCACTAAAATTAAACCAAGCCAAAGTTAACTTTTTTCTTTTGAGTAACTAGGTTGAAGGCTCAACAAATTATTTGGACATAATGTTACTTAAAATGACAAAATAGGGTTTTATTAGCTCAAAGTGTCAACTTGGAAAGAAGTATCTAGGGAATTACTTTTGTTCCCTAACTTAATAGTCGCATCTTCAAAATTTTTATATGAATGCCTGGGAGGCTCAGTCGTTTAAGCATCTGACTCTTGATTTTGGCTCAGGTCATGATCTCGGGGTCATGAGACTGAGCGCCATATTGGGTTTTGTGCTGGGCATGGTGCCTGCTTAAGATTCTCTCCCTCTCTCTCCCTCTGCCCTGCTCATTGATTCTCTCTCTCTCAAAAAAAAATATATATATTTTGATGATAGTAGTGACGATATTCAAAAAGCTTAAGCAAATTTTACAAAAGATAAATCAAGTTACTTTTTAGATGACTTTAACAAAAGTTTTCAAAAAGCTTGGCCAACTCTATGACAGTGAAACCGTAAGAGACTCTTAACTATAGAGAAAAAACTGAGGGTTGATAGAGGAGAGGTAGATGGGGGATGGGCTAAAATGGGTGATGAGTATTAAGGAGGGCTCTTGTGATGAGCACGGGGCATTATATGTATGTGATGAATCACTAAATTCTACTCCTGAAATCAGTATCACACTGTATATTAACTACCTAGAATTAAAATAAAAATTTGAAACAAAAGAGAAAAGAAACTTAAGGACAAATGTAGTATTTTCCTTTTGAGTTTGAACACTAAACTGCCTAACACATGGGCGAAAAAAAGACAATCTGACTGCAACTCCATGAAAAAGACCTAGTGGATTGTGTGGCTATAAGTTCAAATAGACCAACAGTACTATCAAGTCACATTACTAGAAATTGTGTTGCCAAATCACATGTCCATGATGATCAGAAGTTCCATGTTCTACTTTGAGAATCAATGCTTAAGAAATATGCTGACACAGAAAATAACCACAGCAGCTTATAAGGTTTTGGAAAAATTAAAGGAGTAAGAGGAATAGCTAATGATACAGAGAATGTATAGTCTGGAAAAAGAGCAAGGGAAGAATGTTAGGAGTTTTTTAACAAGTATTATCATGAGAATGTGGATTAGGGAACATAATTCAGTGTTTCTTCAGGTGACAAAATTTAAGGACAGTAATCTCAGAAGTTATTAGAAAACAAGGTGAGTCAATTATTGAAAAACTTTCTACTACTAAGTACTGATCCAACAATGAAATAAGCTTTAAATTTCATATTAAAAAGCTCTTCAGGGCAGCCCCGGTGGCACAGTGGTTTAGCACCACCTGCAGCCCGGGGCGTGATCTGGAGACCCTGGATCGAGTCCCACGTCGGGCTCTCTGCATGGAGCCTGCTTCTCCCTCTGCCTGTGTCTCTGCCTCTCTCTCTCTCTCTGCATCTCTATGATGAATAAATAAAACCTTTAAAAAAAAAAAAAAAAAAAAAAAAAAAGCTCTTCAAGCACAGCAGTGACAACTACCTGCAGAGACAACCATAATAAGTATTTTGTACTGTGTGGCACATGGTTTGGGCAATTTCTAAGGTCTACTCCAACTTGAAAAATCTGACTCCACAACTCTTTATAGGTAATAAGGTCAGGAAAGAATTAAAATAGAAAAAAATTTTAATGCTTAAGACTAAAACTAAGAAAACCATTCTTTCAGACTTATAAGCATATTATAGATGACTGTTGTTTAAGGCTTCCGGCAAACATCACACACACTTCCAGTCAATTCTAGAGCTGAATATGTTTGTGATCCAATCCTGGTAGGTCAAGACACCATTACCACCATATTAATGGAAATTGTATATTGACAATTACCAAAGAAAAGTACTAAAATATAAGCAATTATGACAAAAGGACTTATGAGAAAATCAGTAAACTTACCCCCATCAAAATCACAAAATACACCTATTCTCTCAGGAACAGCAACATCCAAGGCTTTGACTTTATTATTATGCTTTGCTGCAAATGTGTTTTGTAGCCAGTTGTTGACATGGATACACCAACTAGTGTTTGTCTTTCCTAATTGGTCAAATTTCCCCAAAGTCTTATATGCTACTCCCACGCTGTAGGATTTACAATCCTTCTGGGCCTTGACCTCCCAGTAATGTTGTCCACTTTCAATAGCAGTGTCTCCTACAAAAGATCAGAAAGGCAAATTTGACTATTACTTCTTCTTTATGAGTTACACAGATTTTTACCTATCTCTTATCCCACAGAATGGCACAAAAAATCTGATTCAGAAAAATAACCATATTAACACAGACAACAAACGCAGAGTATCTGCTATAACTTTACTTGTATATTTCCTATTATTAAATTTTCGCATTTATAAAAGGTTTTAAAACTTTTATTCCTTATTATCTCTTTAAAAGATATGCATATACATAAAATACAAAGTAAAATGAATTAAAGTTTTAAACAAACCAATAATTAGACAATTTGAAACCTCCCAAAAGTAATCAGGCTTCAAGAGGGAGAAACCTTGGCAAATACTCATTCAATACATAGGCCTCCTCCAGCTCAGGAGTGGCCACCAGTGTGACCATGATGCTTTTCATATTAACTGACATAATGAAGGCTATGTTTATCCTACCCAGCACTGTGTATGACTCCCCAGTAAAACGATCTCTGCTGCCTCTTACTGCTGGTGGCCTGGAGCCTATGGATGTCCGTTTAGGGGATGGTGTGCCACTTCTATATAAGCAGGAAAAAAGGGAAAACAAATATTCTATGTAATAAATGTTTCACAAACCAAAATCACAAATCATAAAAGGAAACTTTGAAAAGATTTTTAATTATTTTATCTGAATTATTATTAAAGAGTTGTCAACTATAAACACTGAAATGTAAGAAGTCATCAACATAAAGCAGGCTGAACACTAATATCATGCAGACAACAAAGTTGATACAAAGAACACACAGTTGAAATAAGAAACAATGCCAAAATGAGACAAGATGAAAAGGAAAACAAAAGAATGGAAGGGGAAAAACCTCAAGAAAAGTAACAGATTATAGAGCTTACATTTCTTGCAGTTAAATTTAAATTTTAAAATGGCAAAAATATGCTTATTCTAATGAAAACTAAATAACCTTTTCATAAGCAGCAGGTATTTTTTCTCTGGATCTTCTTAAAAAGAATAGTATATGCCCGAATCCTTACAGAGGATAATATCAAATATTATAAGCATTTCTGCTAAAATGGACAAGAGTCAACCTCTCCTTATATCAAATTACATGATATGATAAATGGGACAGTATGATGTCTTGCACTAAATCTCAAAAACACAAAATAAATCAAAACCCAAAGACAATTTAAAGAGAACACTTCAATTATACTGAATCACTGCATTTAAAAAACAAAAATTATAACTTACCGGTAGTAAAGAAATAAAAGGAAAAGCATGGAGAAAAAACAGATTTAACTATTAAGAGTGGCAGTTTAAATTTCAGAGAAAAGTTAAATAAGGAGGGCTCCTTGATAGCAGCGTTCTAGACTTCCAACCCTAAGAACATTTTTGCAAGCAGTACAACAGCTACTACTGTCCTAGGTCAAACATGATCCCTCCCACCTTGTTCCTCTAAAGACAGATACTTTTGCAGCTTAATTGTGCAAATTAAGGTTCTTTGTTTACCTGCACTCTAGATGGTTTTACTAGTTTCTGAAATTCTCTTTGCCACCCAATTCATCTTGTTCACTGTTACCAGATAAACCTAAGTCTGATATTCCTACTTTAAAATCTTCAAGTACTTCCTTATTGCCTACAAAACTTAGTTTGGCATTTTAGGTTCTTCTATATTTGGTCCCAATCTGCTTTTTAGCCTTCTCACCCTTAGAGAGCAGTATTTAGCTAAATGTAGCAGCTAAAGTGTTCCTTAAACTCAGGCAACCTGCTTCAGTGTCTTTTCTCTTATTTCTCCCTCTCTCAATGAAAGACCAAATGGCATGCATTCTACTTTCTTGAGAACCAGCCTATTATTCCATTAATTAAGATCTTCCAGATTCTACCAGGCTAAATAACTCTTCTGGGAAATCCATCTCCAGGCTAAAATCCTATGTGTAGCTTTTCAGGCCCAACTATAGACAATAATAAAAGGCTTTTAGTGACAGGCTTGGGAGGGCTGCCTTTCCTATGTCAGACCTGATACTTACCTAATTTATCCCAGTTTCTGAAGGGAGATGCAATCCACCTCCACCCCAACCCAGTGCTCATATGCATATCTGCACTCCTAGCTTAGGCACTTCCATTCAGAGATTCCCTTATGAGACCTTTTCAGCCGCCTCTTTGGAGACCTCCTTAAAGGGAGCAAGGATGATGTATGCAATCTGAAGACACTCTCTCCACTCCATCTCAATACTTTCCCACTTCTAACCCTTCCTCTTCTCTCTTCTTCTTGGCCTCAGGTCCATAAAAGAACAGGAACAGCATTCTGTTTGAGACTCTCTTGGCAGTGAGATGATCCTCCAGATAACCATCATTTGCAATTTGCTTTGATTTACCTGACCCTCACCCAATGCCATTATGTTGGGGAAAATGGAACAGTAAGGAGAGCTAGCACCCTTTCCTTTGTGGCCTCTTGCTTATACTATCACGTAAGTGAATAAAGCCTTGATTGTTACTTTCAGTTTGGCTCAATGTCCTAACTGACCACTTTAAAACCTGGCAGCTCAGGACATCTTTCTTCCTCAAAATTCTTTATTCATGCTTACCATTACATGTAATCTTTACCTTGTATTATCATTAGTTGTATATACATATATAACCCATATACATAAGCTAAGGCAAATTTCTTAAAGGCAGGAATAGTGTTTATCTCTACAAACCCCACCACATCTAGCTAACACCTTACATTGACCAAGTATTTATAGAAAGAATAAATGGATATAACATTCCAGAAGTACCCTACACATAAAGTATCCTTAACAGGAAAGGAGAAAGAGAAGTAATATGATCTGAACTGCTTAAATAGAAGCAGTCTAAAAATCTCCAAGTGACCAAATGAAACTTTATATATTCTATTAAGTCCAGCAACATTTTGTAATTTATAATATGCTAACTCAAAGTCACTTTCACTAATAATGAGCAAACAAACTAGAAAAAAGATAATTTTGAAAAGGGAATACATTCTGGTTTCTGGTAAAGATGTGGTATCTTCAAATTAGCACATTATTAATCATGCAATTTGAATTGATTCATCTTTCTGAGCACCGTCCTAGTAATTTCAATAATGACCTTCACTTTTTATCCTTGATGCTTTTGAAACTGTATTATTATCATACAATATAAGAACATTTCAAACCTGCTTCGTGTCAAGTACAAATAAAAACAAAGCTGTAATGTTAGATATACTGAATACAGCACAAGAAAGATGCCAGTTACAAGTAAATGCAGAAAAAAATGAGATGAGGGAAAATAACTCAAGAAAGACTTTAAAGCAGAGCTTATTGTTTTGTTACCATATACAACATAATCCAAACAGTATGCAGTATACTCTAATGCTGTAAATTCAAAACATAAGCTACCAATACAGACAGTCTACAGAGAGCAGTATTTTAGCTTATGAAAGCTGCTGCAATGGCTTCTGCTTATTGGTTAAAAGAAAAATTAAAGTTATTCAGCAAAGCTAGGTATACTAAGTCCTAGAACCAGACAGACATAGATCATCACCTTGTATGTTTCTTCAGTGAAGTAACATGGACACTGTTAGATAAAAATAGGCAACTGTTAAGAGACTGCTTTACAACTTAAATTTAACAGCTTATAATAAAATTAGATCAAAAGCCTGTTGAGAACAATTCTTTTGATTCACTGTTGTAACTCACAGTGATATTGCTTTATTTCAGTTTGAGCAAAATTTTCCTCTGGTAAAAAAGAGGCCCCCATACTTCAAAGACTGTCTAAAAAAGTCTGACAACAACAAAAGGTCCCAAGCCTTCCTTCCTCTTTAGTTCATAAGGTTGCTGATCAGGGACAAGACAATGGGACTGTACATGCTAAAAGTTGCCATTTAATGCAGACTTCAGGTAAGATTGGTGATCTAAAATTCAGGAACTTCTTTCTTAAGCAGTTCAAGTTGCTGTAGATATAACTTTAAAGAAATGGAATACTGAAATAAAAATGTGTAAAAAGAGGATTAGGAAAGAAAAAGTAATGAAAAATTTATAACAAATTCAAGTACTGATAAACAGTATTATATTCCTCTGTGTTACTAGCCTACCACAAATCATACTGATGTATAGAGTAAGAATTTCGTAAGTCACTGTCAAATAAGAATCAACATACAAGCATGTGTCCACATAACAGATCTAATGAAATGACTTACCTGCCTTTATTCTCTTTCCCTTTCATTTTGTTTTCTTGACCTTTTCCTCCAGTAGGATCCCACTCTACACAGGTATCTTCAACTCTCAGGTTCAAATGGGATGAGGAGTTATCCAAACTGAAGTTTAATGCTGTCCAAAAAAATAGTTCACTTTTTAAAAAAATATAGAACATATCCACAGCACAACCACCATCACATTATTTTCCTTCTTAATTTATTCAGCACTGTACAAAGAGAATAAAGTTCAAATTTCTAATGCTGGAATGCCTGGGTGGCTCAGCGGTTGAGCCCCTGCCTTCAGCCCAGGGCCTGATGCTGGAGTCCTGGGATCGAGTTCCACGTCAGGCTCCCTGCATGGAGACTGCTTCTCCCTCTGCCTGTGTCTCTGCCTCTCTCTGGGTCTCTCATGAATAAATAAAATCTTTTTAAAAAATTCCTAATGCTAGCATTTAAAGTTTGCAAAAATAAGGCTGTAATTAACTAACTCCTACTTTATTTCCCATTATTGTTCTCTATATATCCTGCAACCCCAACCAAACACAATGTACTTGTATGGCCTCTGGTGTTACTGCTATTCTCTCTCCTGGAATTTCCATCAGCACATAATAATCTCAACTTTCTGTTATTAGAATATCAGTGGACTATCAGTTGATTGTTATGACTAAATAGGAAGAGGAACTGGTAGACTTGAGGATGTGGAAAAAAAGTGATGTAGAAAATTATACAGTCTGGCACACACATATTTTCTCTGAGGCTCTAATACTTAATGGTTTCATATTTAAACTCTCAGTAGTTTTGAATTAAAAAGCACAGAGAAACAGCCTATGACAGGAGAAGCAAGGAAACTGGCCCACCTAATAGAGATAGATGTATTACCTTCTCTCTTTGGAAACTGAAAGTAAATCATTAAAATGTATTTATTAAGCTGAATAATGCAGAATTCCTCAGATACTCCAATGCAATTCCCAGAATCTCTGCCTTACACAAGGCATCATCTACTATATATTTACTAATGAGTCTGCTTCTGTTAGTTGTATTTTCCTTCAAAAGTACAAATTTCTGGTAATTACTCATTGAAGTGATATTCCTTTATAACTCCATTTTACTTAAGGATATTACTTGATTTAGCCAAAGCTTCAATGTTTCTATGAAGTATGCATCATCAAACAACAAGATATTCATATACAGTGCCTAATGTTTACCTAGTAGATTAAAAAATTTTTTCCTTCACTGTTCTATAAAGAGCACTTTAATTTCAGCTATGGGTCTGATCCATTGTTCACTGTCTATTTATAAAATAACTTCCTATGTACAAATCTACTGAACATAATGCTTCTAGGAAATATCATACAAGTAAGTTATTAGCTTTTCAAAATCTGCATGTAAACAGAAATGAAATTACAAAAAGAATATAGTTTTCCAGTGTAAATGGTAACAAAATTCCTTACTAAAGGTTACTAAATAGGCACTTAAGAGTCACTTGATAAGCAGGTTACTAAAAAATTAGGATTAAGCAAATTTGACACCCTGCACTATCAAGAATGAGCTGCCTTAAGAAAACTGAACCACTTGGCTGGTTCAGTCAGGAGAGCATGCACTCTTGATCTCAGAGTGGTGAGTTTGAGCCCCACATTGGTTGTAGATATTAATAAAAACTAAAAAAAAAAAAAGTCCACAAACTTAAAAAAAAAAAACAAGAGTTAATTAACCCCTATATTAGCTAGTAGCTAATAATATGTTAGGGTATCTACATTCTGGAGAGAAAAAAAAGTACATTTAAGTCTAAGGTGCCATCAATTCTCAGGTGCTTGTTAAAATTCTAAGACTGTTCAAAAAAACAGGCAAGAAAAAAAATCCTAAGGCTGTTCCCAAATATTTAATATAATGGAGAAGGACAGAGTCATGAGTGGCAAAAAAAAAAAAAAAAAAAAAAAAAAAAAGGTGTCACCTTCAAGTCACCTGAGACTAGACTTAAATACCACAGCATGCAGACAGAAAGGTATGAACTTCAATCCCAGGGGTATAATCTTTCATTTCTCTCTCTCTCCCTCTTTCTTTTTTTCTTTTTTTGGTTTTGTATACTATCTCCTTTATGGGATGTCAACCAAGTCACTGAACCTCTCTCAGCTAACAGTGATACTGTATATTAAAAACAAACAGAAAATACAGGACTGGTCTCAAAAGTGAGGTCCCAAACATCAGATCATCTCTATAATACAGCTAGGTATTAGTTTCTGTATCTTTAAAAGTCTATGAAAACAAAGTACCAAAAAAATCAAAGTTATCGTTATGTTTCATGTTTGTGTTGGTACCTGTTTTCTCTGCACTGCAAAATTGCATCATAGCCACTATCATTTGAAACTAGAGAGTAATTTGTGATTAATATATCATTTACCTTTACAAGGAAGTAATGTAAAATTACTTAAAAATTCTATTCATAAGACCTTAGGTTACACATCACATGTGACAGTTCCAATAATATGAAATAGTGCTACTACATACATTGGAGAGACAGAAATGAAAGATGTTCACTATTTCCCACATTGAACACTGGTAAGAGGCAGGAAATCAAATTTTGGTAGGCTTCCACTATTTAACTTCCATCTTTCTCCCTTTCCCTCCAATTCTTTGTTCTATACATTTGTTTCTATGTTTGGTCAAAAAGTACTGCAATAAGCCAAAAAAAATTAATAATTGTTCACCGTGTCATCTTTTAAAAAACCTAGCCTTTTCCTCTGTAGCTCTTGCCACAGTGGTAGGTCACAACCACTCAGGGGTATGGAATAACTTTAGAAAAGTTGAGACCTATAGCCATTTAAGGAACAAATTCTGAGTCTCCCTGAAGGTCAGAACCATGTTTAGTGGGCCTCAAGGTTAAATTTCAGTCTATCCCCACCCCAAGGGGTTTACCTCACAGTGAGAATTCTTGGAAGGACTAAAACGAATTTAGTCTTTCTCTACAAACACTAAGACCATGAATTTGACTACTAAGATTCACACACTGCCAATAGGAGCAGCCAGCCCAACTCCAAAGAAACAAGCCAGCTGTTTATTTCCCTGAATCTGGAATCTGCATAGAAATGTATAGGTCCAAGTTTGGTCCCTAAATATAAAGGGTAAAAGAGAAGGAACAAAAGACATAAAAAGATACAATACTCCTGAGGGAGAATAATAATGCAATTTTACCTGACAAGGACTAAAAACAATTCAAGTTGTGTAGAAAAGAATCTACATATATATGACTATACTTTGAAATGGTTAAAATCTCTAAAGAAACCACAATAACATCTTAATTTGATTACAAGTAATTCAAAGTAACTGCATTCTTGGCTAAGTTATCTATAGTTCTTGAATAAAAACATTTGCTAATCTAAGCAAATTACTCAACTTAGTTTTTTTTAACTTTGTGACACATTCTTTTGAGTTTGTCTTGTCAATAACTTAGGGACTTCATAGTTTGTTTTATTTCTGATATAATATTTTTATATCACTTCCAAATCATATCAAACTCTGGCATGTAAACCCATCCAAATGCTTTATGAACTATGTCAGTAGACCACTTGAAAGCTCAAGTACCTCAACAATATGTTGAATCTGATTCTTGAAGTAAACCCAGTCAATTATCATCTCACAACTAACAAGATCTCTAGCACTATGGCCTTCCAAGTGCTAACTACCTAAAAAAAACTATGTTGAAATATGTTATTCTAGAGAGTTTTAACTAAATCCAAATTGCTCTCAGAAGACTAGAAACACCCAGGTTCCAGGCCCACAGTTAAGGGCTGGCAAGGAACTTGGAAACAGATTTTTTTTTTAAAAGATCTTATTTATTTGACAGAGAGACAGAGAGAGAGAGAGCGAGCATGCACAAGCAGTGGGAGCAGCGGGCAGTAGGAGAGGGAGAAGCAGGCTCTCTGCTCAGCAGAGAGCCCAACATGGGGCTTGATCCTGAACCCTGGAATCACAACCTGAGCCAAGGGCAGATGCTTAACCAACTGAGCCACCCAGGCAGCCTGGAAATAGATTCTTAATTACACTTTTCCAAGTTAGTTCTAGAGATCATAGGCAAGTCATTTAACGTATTTAAACTTCACTTTTTTCATCTACAAAATGGGTATAAGTAATATCTAGACTACTGTTCTCTCAAGATGGTTTTATTTTTTTTAATTAATTAATTTATTTATTCATTAGAGACACAGAGAGAGAGAGGCAGAGACACAGGCAGAGGGAGAAGCAGGCTCCATGCAGGGAGCCTGATGTGGGACACGATCCCGGGACTCCAGGATCACGATGAGCTGAAGGCAGATACTCAACCGCTGAGCCACCCAGGCATCCCCCAAGATGGTTTTAATAATCAAATGGAGAATTCTCAGAGTGCTCTGTAATCATTAATAAAAATACAAATGTTAATTTCTACAAGGTTTAAGAAAACATGGGGCAGCTGGGTGGCTCAGTTGGTTAAGGGTCCGACTCTTGATTTCAGCACAGGTTACGATCTCAGGGTTGTGAGATCAAGGCTGCACTGGGCTCTACACTAGACATGGAGCTTGCTTAAGATTCTCTCTCTCCCACTTCTCTCTCCCTCTCTGGAAAAGAGAGAGAGAGAAAAAAAAAGAAAGAGAGAGAAAGAAAAAGCGAGAGAAAGCAAGAAAAGAAAGCAGGAGCTAAACTGAATGGTACTTCCTCATTATTGAGCCATAATCCATTCCCTGAGAAATCTCTGGGCAAATTTCACTGATGCCTATGTATTTATATTAGATTGCAATTTATAAACTAACATCCACCATAGAATATAATGCCATCATCTTGGTTTATTTTACCCACCTGAACACCATCATAAAAGATGAACAAAGGAAAACCAATATTGTAGTCCTAATTCCCCCATCGATAAATTCCTACTGCTGAGAATTCCAAGTGTGTGTGTGTGTGTGTGTGTGTGTGTGTGTGTGTGTACACGTGCAGTGGGGAAAAAGTGCTACCATACATGAAATGCTTCCTCTTACAGTCTTGAATAACTTTAGATGTTTTGTTTTATGCTGTATAAATATCTATGATCTTACCTCTGGTCTCTAGAGTCACTGGATCAGAATACTCTCCAGCTACAGCTTTGTTACAAGCTCGTACTCTGAAATTCATATATTTTGAATCAAACTTCAAGCCTGAAAAAAATGAAAATGGTTTTCAGATATGAAAAATAAAGGGATCTATTCCAAAAGCATGAGTATGAACCTTCAGACACTTTCCCTCCTTGGAACTACTTTTATGTTAAAACGGTGATAATGCCTCAAATAAGAGTAATCAAAATTTATCTATTACTTTCTTCAAAAGAAATAAATTATATACAGTTTACCAACATGGATTTTTTAAAAATCTAGTGATAAAAAGGTACTTTCAAACCTTGTTAAAAGTGATGTTTCATTCAAGGAGAAATGCTAATTTAAAATAACATATTCAGGATGCCTAAATGGCTCAGCAGTTGAACATCTGCCTTTGGCTCAGGGTGTGATCCTGGAGTCCCAGGACTGAGTTCTGCATCAGGCCTGCTTCTCCTCCCTCTTCCTGTGTCTCTACCTCTCTCTCTGTGTCTCTCATGAATAAATAAATAAAATCTTTAAAAATAAATAAATACATACATACATAACATATTCAATTTCTGGAAAGAAGATATCCTAAACAATTTTTATATTTATGAAACATTGTCTTTTTATGTGAAAAATGAATTTAAAGAAAAAGTAAAGCATAGGAAACTCTGAAGTAATCAAGTCTAGATTAAAAAGTCCTAATCTATGGCATCTCTGACTGGCAACTCTGATTCTCAGAATTATGTTTGAGCCCCACAATGGACGTAGATTACTTTAAAATCTCAGTCTAAAAATTACTAGCTATGAGATCATCAACAACTTGACGGAGCCAGTTTTTGTATCTGCAAAATAGAATAATAGATTCAACTTCATAATTATAAAGATTAAATAATAATGTATTGTGTAATACACTTCAGCCCAGCTCCTGACAAATGGTAAGTGTTTAATAATGGTAATGTTACTGCTCATGCATAAGCTTGAACAATTCTGGAAACAGTTGGCCATTTCAAATACCAAAGCCCTATGTATGTAGAGATACCTTTTTAAAGACTTTTCAAAGGCTAACACAAATTTCTAATGACAAGTCACAGCTCTTTAAGTATTACTGTGAAGGTAGTCATAAAAAGGTAAAAGCAACAATTTTTATAGTACCACTGAAATGCAGAGTAGTACGTACATCTAGAAAATTGACAGCTTTTTTATTATTAAAAAATCAAGGGTAAAATTCAATGTTATTCTGAAATATTGTTTCCAGAACACCCCTTCATGTTTGTTTTACGTACATTGTTTTACCAGATTACAAATATCCAGAACTAATTAAAATGAAAGTCTTCCTGATATTTTAAGAGAAATTTACTTCTATAATAAATTATAGAAAAAGTCAGCTTGGCCAAAGAAGCTTAACTTTATCTTTTAAAGTAACTCAAAATACTTTTCACAATTACACTTACTTTCTGAGAATGAGATTTATGAAATGCAGTCATCATTTTACCTGACAGTGTAAATTCAGTACCCTTAATATTATCAATTGTCTCCCAGCATCGCTCATCCTTTACACGTGGAAGTCCATCAAAATTAGTTTTCCGATGTTCTAGTATAAAGTGATCAATCTTATTATCTTCTTCTGGCATTCTCCAAGCTACTGTTACAGAATTGTCTGCCACCAAACACTCTACTGGATCTATCTCTGGAGCTTTAGGGACTGAGAGGACAAAAAAAAAAAAAAAAAAAAAAAAAGCTCATTTCTTATTTATTATAGTACTAATCTAGTATTTATGTTTGTCATTCAAACTTTTTTTCATGTTGTTTTTTAATGGTGTAATTGAATGAGGCTAACGGAAAGGATACTCCATAAAGGCAAAGTAACTATTTTTCAAGGTTCCATATAAAAATTCACGTTTAAGGTTTTTTCATAGACTTACTCAAAGTTTATTAATAAAATCCTAGTTGGCAAAAAGCAAGTCAAATATGCTAAAGATTAATAATCAAGAATAACTTGTTATTCCTCAACACATACTTTTTAATCTACTACTTCAAACAGCTATGGAATATAGATTACAATCCTGAAATCGTGACCAGAACTAAAATCAAGAATCAGAAGCTGAGCTACTCAGGCACTCCCCAAAGTATTAATTTTTAAAAACTATGACAACAAAGGAATTATACACAAAAGTTAAAATGCAAAGCAATGTAGAACTTAACAAATAACAAAGTAAACCAAATATTTTACATCTTAGACAAAATAATCAAGACCATGATGAGTCCTAGAGGTCCCTGGGTGGCTCAGTTATGTATCTGACCCTTAATCTCAGCCCTGGTCTTGATCTCAGAGTCATGAGTTCAAGACTGTAGCCTGCATTGGAGCCTACTTTTTTTTTTTTAAAAAAAAAAAAAGACCAATATGAAAAGAATTTGATAGAAATTTGACACCTTCAAGCCTAACTAGTAAGAAAAGAGGAAAGGAGAAAAATGGGACAACTGATCTCCATTAACTATAGTCTCCAAAGTTCAACTCGTGTCTGTGTAATTGTACAATAAATATTTAGAATCTGATATACCTTATTAGTAAGATAAAAGATAACCAAGTAAGTATTTCTTTAAAGATTTTATTTATTTATTCATGAGAGAGGTAGAGACACAGGCACAGGGAGAAGCAGGTTCCCTATAGGGAACCTGATACAGGACTAGATCCCAGGATCATGACCTGAGCCAAAGGCAGACACTCAACCACTGACCCACCCAGGTGCCCTCCAATAAATATTTACCATTTGTCACTATGGTTAATTTTCTTAATCTAGCTTTTGTAGGGTTCTTGTCCCTATGATACATAACAAATGTTAATCTCAATTATTGAAACAAGCAATATAGACTAGTATTCACTGCCAAAAGAATAAACCACAGGCATTTATGAATTTAATATGCTCTGCACTGCCTACATGTGAGGAAATATAGCAGCCTATGGCATGTAATAATTTTGTAATTTTGCTGAGTCAAACACCGGTACAAAAGCCTGAAAAGTCAAAAGCCTGAAAGTTCCAAGAGGCTGATGTAAAGCAAAAAGCATTTAATTTGTAAGCAGGCCCAGCTAACTCCCCAGAATCTACATCTTAATTCAGCTGCTGTTCCAGTAAGAATGTATTGGCAAGTAGGTATTTCTTTCATGTGAACAATGACCTCCAAAAGAGAAGAAATTGCTAGAAGTGGCAACTGAGGTAAAAAATGACAAAAAAAAATATCCAAGAAAGTGATGATACCTGGAAGGAGAAAGAAAATTTTGATAATCTAAGAGTGGTATATGTCAAATTAAGGCTGACCTGGATCTAATGTGTGGAAAGTTCACCCAAGATTCTATACAGAAGAGAAGAGTTCATCAAATGGGGGACAGAGCTTCAGGGTAAGATGAAAAGTGGTATATTTGTAACAGAAAAAAATACTTAGGAAATGCAGGACTTTCTTTGGAAATGAGAATGGAAAGCAATTCACAGCAATTTCCATAAAGTAACACTCAACTGGCAATAGTGTGGAAATTGGTTCAAGAATTTTATGTTCCTGTATGTGAATGTAAAAAGGCAAGTGACATCAACACTGCCACAGATATGTTTCTCTTCTTAGCTGCAGGAGCTCAGAGAGGATGAGGATATAAATTCTTAAGTTTTAGTGTATAAAAAATAGCTTAGAGTAGAAGAAAATGACTAGAATTATTATCACTACCACTTCCATTTTTCAAACTCAAGTAAGTGTACAACTCATGTTACTATACATACTACAGTGTAAGAGTTGATTTTTGTGGTGTTTATGGAACAGATTATTAAAGGATGAAGATACTGGTTTTTCGGGATGCCTGGGTGGCTCAGCGGTTGAGCATCTGCCTTCAGCTCAGGGCATGATCCTGGGATCCCGATTGAGTCCCACACTGGGCTCCCTGCAGGGAGCCTGCTTCTCCTTCTGCCTCTCTCTCTCTCTCTCTCTCTCTCATGAATAAATAAATAAAAATCTTTTTTTAAAAAAAGGTATTTGTTTTTCTAAGTTAATCTGATTCCATCTTATGGGAAATTTTTATGCTATCACAGAATAAAAAATTAGTGACATGAATTCATCTTTCACAAATTTTAACAACCTACTATAATCTTCCTTTCAGATGAAATTCCTCCACAAAAGGTTTTCTTGTTTTTTTTATTATACTTCATTGCTTGAGGCTGTCATAACACAGTTTGCCAAAAAAGGAAATCCTACTGTGTATGCAATCTACTTGACTTTTTAGTAGACATGGCCTTGGTCTGTTAAGCCATGACAGAAAACCCAAGAGAAGGAAAGTAATGGTGAAAAGACTGCTTTTTAACAGTTTTTTCCAAAAAAAATCAAAATAATAATACTCATGTATACATTCATAATCCACAACTCCTGACTTTCCTTCTGAATTTAGAAATAGTGTGAATGACACTATAATAGTAATTCTGAAAGGCGAATTTACAGGTAGATATCCACTGACAAATATACCTCCTTCCTCTATACCTATGGTTCCTTCTGTCATCTTTTCCTTCTATAAACTCCTCTAGAGGGACGCCTGGGTGGCTCAGCAGTTTAGCGCCACCTTTGGCTAGGGCATGATCCTGGAGTCTTGGGATAGAGTCCCACATTGGGCTCCCTGCATGGAGCCTGCTTCTCCCTCTGCCTGTGTCTCTGCCTCCCTCTCTCTCTCTCTCTGTGTGTGTGTCTCATGAATAAATAAAATCTTTAAAAAAAGAATAAACTCCTCTGGAACTACCACACAGGTTAATACCTCACTTAAACTACCCTTCCTTATTAGTTCCATTTTGGTTTCATGACTACTAACCTATCTTTACAATCATATTTTAAAGTCCCTGACCAAATACTCAGAGAATGGTTTCATATGATTAACACTCTCTATTCAAAAACAGCTAATCTCCAAAAATTAAAGCCAGTTCTAACTAGAACCTGTAATAAAAAGCACCTCTAAATGAGTAAAACAAACACCTGATCCCTCAAATCATCATGTTCAAACTGTTTTAGCTATCAACCTAACACCACTTCTTGACGTTAGCTAAAAAGAGAATACCAACAAACGGTCCTTAGTTTGCTTTCTCACATAAGTGGGAAATTTGGGGGCTCAATTTCAAATGGTTTTTGCTATCCTCATACTAACCCTTATACTAATACTCTAATAAACCAATTTTAACCTATTACTACTGGAAATAAAAGTTCATCTAAGCCAACAACCACAACTATACTGGTAATGGCAGCAGCTAATATGCACTGAGTATTAACTAAGCGCCTGGCACTATTTTCAAGCAATTCAGAGGTTTGAATTCATTTAATCCTCATACAAACCCTAGAAGAGTAACATCACATTTTCAAGATGAAGAAAATGAAACAAAGTTAAATAATTTGTTCAAGGTTCACAGTAAGTAAATGGCAGCCAGGATTCAAGTCTAAGTCTGGCCCCCAAACCCACTGTTAACCATCATGGTATATTGCTTCTCTTTACCAAATTAACAATCATAGATATCCCTTTAATAGGATTCTCAAAATGGGACTCCTGGGTGGCTCAGCGGTTGAGCATCTGCCTTTGGCTCAGGCGTGATCCCAGAGTCCCTGGATTGAGTCCCACAACAGGCTTCCTGCAAAGAGCCTGCTTCTTTCTCTGCCTATGTCTCTGTCTCTCTCTGTGTCTCTAAAATATTTTTTAAAAATTCTCAAAATGGAATTTTTACTACCAGTAAAATAATTCTCTAAAAATAAAGACTACCAAATTTAATTATTCCCTAGCTGAATGAAGGAAAAAACCCACACTATACTTAATATTTACATTTCAAAGTCCATTACAATACCAAATTTAATTATTCCCTAGCTGAATGAAGGAAAAAACCCACACTATACTTAATATTTACATTTCAAAGTCCATTACAATAAAACACTTCACATGTAATATATGTACATACTTACCGGGTAAAAACTTCAAAGTTTGCAGCATCTGTCTTTCCTGAGAAAAATCCACCATTAAATGAGTCATGTTGTCACTGACCTTTGGTTTCAAAGAAAGGCGAAAGGCTGAAGCCATTGTTACTCTACGGTAAACACAAATATACTTTTAAAAATAAAAGAATGGAGAGTATGCCATATTTAATTTATAAATGAAGATAGAAGTTATTTCATTTTAGTGATTTCAGAAACTATAACAAAGGTAACAAAGCTAAAAAGAAATTTGTTCTGAGTCTTTAGAAAATTAAATAAAAAACTTTAAAATGTTTTTAAATTTAGACATTTAATATAACTTTAAGTAATTTTCTTCCAGCCAGTTTTATAAAATTGCACACAAAAATTTCACAAAAGAAAATATCCCTTATAAATCATCATTCACAGACCCAAGAGATGTCTGAACCTATGTATACTCAATCTCACTGACTTCCTGATGCCAACCTCATTCCTTTTCATATGCCAAATAACGAACTCTACACTCTTAGTAGTCACAGCTACTCCCTGTAACCTCAATTAAGAGTAAAAGTACCCTGACCAAATACTGTACAGCCTAGTACCTGCTAAAGATAGGGCATGGATGAGAAAGGAGAGAAGTAAAATCACAATTTTGAATACCATGCTAGTAGGTATCACCCTGATGTATCAACATCTGATACATGGAAGGATACAAGGAGAAACAGCCCATATGCCATGGAAATAATAGTTCAAAAATACTTATTAGATGGGTGTGGTATAAAAAAAACAGACATATACACAAAAGAAGCTATATCAGACCTCATTTTACCCAAAGTATGGGGAAACTTTTCTGTCAATTAAAACTAGAGATTAAAAGAAATTCTCATATTCTATTAATTTGTCATTTTATCTCAAATTTCTATTTTCACATTACAGTAAATTTCCACAAGTGTCACAAAGTAACTTCCCTTATCTTTGGTAAAAGAATGATTAAAAGTACTATTCATGGAATGTTGTCCTGTTAGTACATAATTTGGGAGAAGAAGTAAAACTGACAAAGGGAATACTAGGCCTAGTTATTTAGATCTGGCAAATTTACCCAGAGATAATGTGGTATAAAAGATATTAAATTTATTGCTGCATTCAATTATTTTATTTCACTTTAAAACTAGGAAAGTAATCACTTTATTAATAACAGTGAGTCAACAATAGCTGAACTATCGATCAAGAAGAATGTTCTATACTGAAATACAACTTATGGGGAAGTGAACTCACTGAAAACCAAGCATAATGCTGAATATTTCACACACATTACTTTAAGCTGTTGGTTCTCAAAAATTAAATTTCAGATTACATCAATAAGAGGTTAGGAACAAAACCTAAGTCTTACTTTGTTCTTTAAAGCCCCAAATATCTTTTCATTTGAAGACTTCTGAAAGAGCTATATTCAGATAGGTACTTAGTATAAAAGACCACTGAATCAATGAAACTACTTGGATTTGAAACTACTTGGATGCTTCTAAATCTACTTAAATGTTGACAGCTGTTGAAAAAATCTAAAAGTATTTTAGGGAATTTAAATCTAAAATTTTATCTATAGGGATCCCTGGGTGGCGCAGCGGTTTGGGGCCTGCCTTTGGCCCAGGGCACAATCCTGGAGACCCGGGATCGAATCCCACATCGGGCTCCCGGTGCATGGAGCCTGCTTCTCCCTCTGCCTGTGTCTCTGCCTCTCTCTCTCTCTCTCTCTCTCTCTCTCCCTCTCTGTGTGTGTGTGACTATCATAAATAAATAAAAATTTAAAAAAATTTTATCTATAAAACTTGATTTTAGGATGCCTGGGTGGCTCAGCAGTTGAGCATCTGCCTTTGGCTCAGGTCGTGATCCCAGAGTCCCAGGATCGAGTTCCACATTGGAGTCCCCTCGGGGAACCTGCTTCTTTCTCCCTTTGCCTATGTCTCTGCCTCTCTGTATCTCCCATGGATAAATAAAATCTTTAAAAAAAAAAAAAAAACTTGGTTTTAATCACTGTGGCCTCAAAGAAAAAGAATGTCCTCCAAAAGTGTGTTAGAAAGGTCCATCAAAACCTAAACTGAATAAATTTAGGTAATTGTGCCTGAAAGCCCAAATCAACAACCTAAAATCCATAGATAATTCTCTACATTACAAGAACCAGATGGTTAGGAATGTTTTAATTCACCTTGACTTTTTTTATTTATTGCCTATAGTACAAATTGAATACAAAGATCCTTTCCCCTCAGTTTCATTTTTACAAAGAAAAAATAACTGCAAAACATATAAATGAACACTTTCCATTTCCTCAAATTATCTAATTAACTTGACTCACCTTTTCATGACCCCTTTCTTTTTTTTTTAATTTTTTTTTAAATTTTTATTTATTTATGATAGTCACAGGAGAGAGAAAGAGAGAGAGGCAGAGACACAGGCAGAGGGAGAAGCAGGCTCCATGCACCGGGAGCCCGACGTGGGACTCGATCCCGAGTCTCCAGGATCGTGCCCTGGGCCAAAGGCAGACGCCAAACCGCTGCGCCACCCAGGGATCCCATCATGACCCCTTTCTTTCAAGAAGCATAAGTCCACAGCAAACCTCAACTAATCCTCTTCCAACATTACTAAAAGCACCCATAAATACATATTAGTGATAAAGTTACAGAGATCTGCTATTATCTTTTCATTTCAGTTGCTTAGTTCTTCTTGTCATTCCCACTGTTTCTCCTGCATAACTTCTACCACAACAAATGATAAATATTCAGTTCTCACAAATGATTTTTACATATTTGATTCTCTGCTCAAGTATGTTAGACACTCTTTCTTAAACATCATTTTTGCCCTCATATAAGAGAATAATCCTTCTTCACTAGTAAAAATTATCTTACTATGATTATGTATTTAAATTATTTTTATATCATAAATGGCAATGATGGAATTCTAGCAGCTTGCTTCTAGCAGCACCTAATAAAATATATAAGAGAAACCTGGACATTTTGAAGTTAAAAATCAAGTTTAAAAAATTAAGTCAAGACCCAGAAGTGTTCTTGAGAAGGAAGTAATAATTTCATGGGTAGCCAAAATAGATAATGTATAAGCTTTTTTTTTTGGGGGGGGGGGGGGGCTTGCCATGACAGAGAAAAGGAATTCCAACTCCTAAGATCACCTAAAAACTAATTAAATCAAGCCAAGAAGTGGGCATAGAAGAGGCAAAGAGGTCAAGCTTTACCAAAGCTCTGCATTCAAGCCATGAAAATTCATCATTAAATTGTGACAAAGCTGGACAAAGAAAGATGTCAGGGGTAAGGACAGATTCTTGGAAGTAGAGAACCATACAGATTCCTAGGAGAGGAACAAGAGAAGATCTTGCAAGGGCTCTTGAAAAGTCTTTGGATAAGCCGAAGCCTGATTAGGAAATGACTTCTAATCCATAAAATCAGAGACCATAGCAAGACTTAGGGAAGTATGTGCCTAAACTGAAGAATAATCTAGCCACAGTAAAAGATGGGTTACACATAGCAAATTCCAGCAGATACAACCTAATTCTATCTTACTCAAAAAACTGACCTACCTAGCACCTACCTACTCACATAGCCAATACTTTTCACCTTCAGACTCTCATAATCACCTTTCTACATCCAGAATAAGATGATCCATGTTTTTAACCATTCCCTGATATAAAATACACCAAAAATACCTAAAAATTAGTATTTGTACTGAGAGTGCTACGAGTGCCATGTGAATCTTGCCTCTAGTCAAATAATAGATGATCAGAAAAACAGAATTGAAGGCTTCAGCCAAGATTGTAACAATAGACACACTGTGTCTGGTTTTCACACAATCCATGATGAATACTTTTGTGAATTATCTGATGAAGAATAAATAATTTAGTCTCAGATTCAGAGTGGTGCTTTGAAGAGATATGCCTTTCAGAGAATCTCATAATCCTCAAAGGAAGAAACTTTAAGGGATAATCTCACTATCATCAATGCTCAGTGACTAACCAGGAAGATCAAAACCATCCCTCCTGTGGTAACTCAATCCAAAACTGTCAGCAGCTTTTTTAGCCCTTTGGTGTACTCATTACAGCAAGTACTAAATTACCTTTCTGAATCCTGGCTCTCTCTACCAATGAGAAAGTCTTTCGTTAGGTCATCACTTTCTTTAATTTTCTCTTCCCACACATTAGATAGTAGTGGCATGAAAAATAGAAAGAGATGGCACCAGGAACAGGATGGAATGAGAATACAAAGGTGTTAAACAGGAGAGCACTGAAGTAGGAGAGCTTTAGCTCTTGAGGACTATTAACAATGCTATGACTTCTCAGAAAATAGGACATACTTATAAAATTATGAACAAAAAAACATTGCAGGAATATATTTTTTAATTATCCAAAATGGGTCCCCATCCATTCATAGCTAATTAAGAACTGTACTAAAACTAACTATATAATATCAGAAATGAAATTCTTTAAGTGTATAATTGTCCACAACTGCTTTTTTAACCCTGCTAATATACTGTTTATCCCATAAGATATGCAAAAGACATCTTTTTTTGTACATGGCATTAGGTATTTTTATTTTAACCAACAAAAGTGAAATAAGAAACTCTTCTTGAATTTCATTTCTGACTTAAATATTGATACTTATATAAAAATGTAGGTTTTATACCATACCTATCCTTGATCTGTCTGGCAGCCTTGGAGCAAATCAGGGAGAAGAGAAAGAAGGCAGTTAGTGCTTTTCATGCAAGTTTCAATGGCAGTGACATGCAAGAAAAGTTAGGATAAAATCCTGGAATAGATTAGTTCACAGTCACCCAAAACATGAATTACAGGAAATTTGTACAGTTCACATCAGCCTGCATAATGTGATGTTAGAACTATAGCAAAAACAATATCCAGACCCCATATTTAAAAGGAGGAAAACTGAACACTTCAAACTAATTCCAGATGACTATAAATGATTTTCCTTACCTTAAGATTATCAAAATAAACCTCCATTTCCATTCAGTCTGACACTCTTCAACTAGAACAATCAATCCCCTTCATGGGGCACACATTTCTATGCAATCTAATGATTTTCTTATACATTTCAAATCTGCTCTCCAATTTTTCTTCAGTGATCTCTTTCACCACTTCATCATGGTTGCTCCAAGTTTTCTCTATATGCCTTCCGTGGGCAAAGACTCTGTATTTTGAGGGTTTGCCTGCTAACATATAAAACTGAGCTGCCGTTCTACAATCCTTTACCCCAAAGAGTAAAGCGATAATGACAAAAATTCAGACGAGGAGAAATCAGAGAAATACTTCTAGCAATAGGGTCTTTCCCCGAGATGACTTCACAGAACCTGCTAACTTAAGCCTACTTGACATGAAATATCTTTTTTTTTTTTTTTTTTGAGAATGCTAGCGCAAATTTACAAATTTAGGAAAGGGCACAGCTGTCACTTGGTGCTGTATACAGGAAAACAATACACATAAAATCCACTGTCCCCTTCACATTTACATACAGTATATTCAACAACAGTTTTTCTCCCCCAAACTGACCACCATAATTAACAATGCATCTAATGTAAACCATGATAATTTTGCTCTACACTCTATCCTAGGCCAAGCACAAAGCTTGCCACATGGTGATACTAATAATTATTAAATTTAACTGAACACTAATTTGATGTATATAGCAATGTTTCCGTTGCATCTCTTCTTCAGTTCTAACACTGTTCTTACTTGGTATTGGTCATTTTTATATCTATCCTAAAATAATGTGGTCTTGAGTACCTTTCTACACAAAAAAACAGAACTGACATTTACAAGATGAGCATATGAAACATTTCCAGCACTACAATAATCAATTGTGAGATCCTGTATACTAATCATTCTCTTTTCTTAAGAAATTTTAGTCTTCACTCGTTCTATAGATCCTTTCCAAGCTTCATATTTTACAGCAAACAACCCAACCCATTGGCATTAATATGTGTCTTACATCCTGACATGACTTTGGTACTAGGAATAAGAAATGTTAAAGTCAATTACAATTTTTTTTTAAATTATTGTCATTACAGCTAGAATTACAGCCAAGGATTTTAATATAAGTGTCAGGGAAGAGAAAAAGGAGACTCCTCTGCTCTTGATGTTTCTTTACATATAGATAAGTGCTTAAGTGCTACTAGCATTAATCACTCCCTTAGCCTCTCTCTAATCCTTCATTTCTTCGGGTGAGGAGAAAGGACTTAATCTGATTACGAGTTTGAAAGGAGAAACTAGAAATAAGCTCAACTATTTTCCCTCTTTCTGAAAGCTTGCTTGCCTACAGGGAACATATTTTCTGTTCTTTCCCTCTGTGTAGGAAGTTTCACAGAAACAGGCGCTCATGTGCGCGCTCTCTCTCTCTCTCTCTCTCTCTCTCTCTCTCTCTCTCTCGCGCGCGCGCGCGCGCATGCATACACACACACACACACACACACACACACACACACACACACACACAGAGTCGACCATATCTAGGTGGGAAAGTCTGACTAACTCTAGGATTCAATATTAGAAAGCTTGCCCACTGATATAAGCTAAATTCTCTAATATCATTTTATTGGTATTTGGCCTCTTATCAACTTTATTGCTTTATTTCCCAACTGTTTTAGAATTTGGTTAGAAGAATGTTACTTATCAATCACTCCCAAAGAACCTAACAATATGAAGACCATAACTATCTTTTTCTAAGCATTGATTTTCTTTCATCTTTCAAGAACATTATACAGTATGCATGTTTAATTTCCCCACAAATTGAATTTAAATAAAATATTAAAATAATAATAATAATTTCCCTACAACCATTTTTTAAAGTGATCTCTACACCCAATATGGTGCTCAAACTTACAACCCTGAGATTAAGAGTCACATGCTCTACTGATTCAGCCAGCCTGGCACCCCCAATACTGTTTTTTAAACTAACCAGAATGATTCAATTGTGTGTCTAGTATTATTTAACTTAGTAAGGTGACTTTTTTTAGTGTGTCTGTGTACAAGTGTGCACATGTGCACATGCATGTAAAGCTTCCTTTCATCATTTAATGTACTAGGCTGCTTGTGACAAACCAGAAAAGGAACAGATGAAAAGCCAAATAATGCTGGAAAAATTGTCGTCTTGTGTATTTATATATAAACATACCCAGGTGATCAAACTGAAGACTCAGCGGTTCCTCTTTCATTTAGGTTCGAATTTAACAGTATATACACTGTGTAAATGCAGAAGGGGTTGAAAAAGTTATTCTGTGCAATGATAAAAGAGTAGAAAGTCTCAAATTCTGAAGATACTTCTCTAAAAGGGCCCAATTTTAAGAAACGTCTTAAATTGGAAAACAAATGGTTTAATTTTTTTTCTGGAATTTCTTCTCCCAAAGTAGAAATCTATCCAAAAGATACACATTACTGTACTGCTTGATTTCTGTAAATTTCAATTTCAAGAGTGATGTTATCTTGTCAATTAAACATCTCTGTTTACCAAGTACAAAATGATTCCAGAATGAACAGGCCTCAGTTAATTCTTTAGATTTTTGGCTAATGCTACTTATTGTACATTATTAGAAAGTTTTCAAGAAGCCTTAGCCACATTACCTTGCTCAATATCACTATTTTCTATTTCAATTTCAATCACTATTTCCATTTCAATCTTCCACTGAAATCTTGGTTGCCAACACTTCATTTCTCTTTATTCTGATCAGAGTTGGTTCCTTTCTCCCTCATTCCCTTCCTCCATCTCTCAATAATTGTTTTCAAAATAAATCTTATAATTCTGATCCTTTATCAGTTATAGGAATCTATCACCTGAGACCAAACGCCCTTAAAAAGACCTGTAATAAGAGTACAAGTAGAAGTAATCACAAATGGTTCTTCATAATTACCAATTAAATATAAAGAAGTTAAACCAGATATTTTCCCAATCTTTCTTGTTTTTAATCTGCTATAAGTAAATACAGAAACTATTTTCTTTCATGAGTTTAATTTAACAAGCACTCTGAAAGTTCAGATCTTATTTTTTCTATATTTCTTACTATCATATTTTTCTCCTTTTATAGAAAGATGTTATATGAAAAGTACCCTAAAAAATAACTCTACTGTGGAGCAGCTAACTTAACAGTATTTTCTAAACATTAAAATGGGAATAATAATAAAACAAATAAGTTTTAGATCTTGCTTATTGTATTAAATGAATCATTTACCCAAAAAGAACAAAATTTGGTATTTCCAAATCTCTTCCCAATTAGCAAAAGTTCTGAAACACCTCAGCAAAAAATATGGAGCATGAGACCAAAGGCTTAAGAGATCTGAGTTTCATACCACATTAACCAGCAAGTCACTTAACTTTTTTAGGATTCAATTATCTTATCTATAAAATGATGAGTACTAAAGCATCTTCAAAACCTAAAAATCCATCCTAAGCCATCTTATTTGCACACAGCTTTTAAAAATTATCCAAAATAAATTAAGCATTTTAACAATCTAATTCTCTGAAATATAGGCTGAAGTGAAGAGGCCACAAGGGAATAGTTAAAATCAGAGCATTAATAAAAAGCAACAAAAATAATAAAATTGACCCTTAACAATTTGAACTGCATGGGTCCACCTATATGCAGGATTTTATACCACAGTGCTGTAAATGTATTTTCTTTTCCTTATGATTTTCTTAGTAATATTTTCTCTAGCTTATTTTAAGAATTGAGCATGTAATACATATAACACAAAATATGCATTAATCGACTATGTTATAGGTAAGGCTTCTTGTCAACAATGAGTAGTTAAGATTTGGGTGAGTCAAAAGTCAGACATGGATTTTAAACTACATGGGGGTCAGTGCTCATAATTCTCATGTTGCTTAAAGGCCAACTGTATATCTGTTTCTGGGTAACAACAGAAAATAATACACTCACACTGTCAAAATGATGAATCTAGCAAAAACTAGATTTCAAAATTGGCATTTGCCTGACATGATTTGTCTTTATTTTGATTTGCAGTAAAGCCCAAGAGAGTTCCTACTAACACTCTCAATGCCACACAACACTAAGAAACTTTTCAAGTCTTGTCTGTATATTTACATGGTCTTATACTTCAGATTTTCCTCTTATATTTGGGATAGAAAATTTTGTAATATTTCCTTGAGACAATCTGAAAATGACTAACAGGCAAACATACAATACTTTCCCAATACCTTTTACAATACATAACTGAGACTTCTACCCTCACTCTAAAAATACCGTATTAAGGAATGACTTGGGAAATGCAAGGGACTCATCAAGAGAAAGTGAAAAAAATATAGCTTCAATATGCTATTTCCCATTTGGAAAAAATACCAGCATTTAAAAAAAACTAAAACAAAAACACTGCAAAGCAGTTGATTCCATATGTTAAAAGTTTTATATTTTCTATACATATGCTTATAAAAAGAACTACTTTTCAAAAAATATGATCATCTTAGTCTTCACAAGCTATAGTAAATAACTGGAAATAAATTTTGAATACAGTACTGCATACATCTGTTCTATAAGCAAGCACATTTATATAACAGGAAACTTTATTTCTGTAAGACGTAAACATCCACAAATGAAATAAAGGTGAAAAATTATAGTCTGGACTACTCTGAACAAATATTTACATTTGCCTTTAAATTGCCTCAGTAACTAAAACATGCATGCTTTCAGTGAAGGTCCTCTTCTCTCATCATTCCTGATTTCAACCCACAGAAAACACTTCTGCCAATACTTCTATTCCCTTGAAAACATACAGAGTTTCTATCCTTTTCGTTTGTTCCTCCCAGTAGTTAGAAGCTGACACTGACTGAACAATATGCCAGTGGCTAGTTACTGTGAGTCTAAAGTGGGAAATACACAAAACCTCCCTTTTCATCTGTGATCAAGTGCAGAAGACACTGTTCCCCTTCACCCCACTTTGTATTTTTTATTCCAGGAAAGGCTTTGTGTACTGGTGACCAGTACCTCCCTTCTAGTAGGACAACTGGGTTACGTGTGGCAAGATAGTGAGGAAGTGGATGGTTAATGACTTGGAAATTACCCCCCAGACTCAGCTATTTTCATTTGTTTTTAAGATTTTATTTATTTATTCATGAGAGAGACAGAGAGAGACGGGGGCAAAGACACAGGCAGAGGGAGAGGCAGGCTCTGTGCAAAGGAGCCCAGTGTGGGACTTGATCCCAGGACCCTGGGATCACCACCTGAGCCAAAGGCAGACACTCAACCACTCAGCTACCCAGGTATCCAATCTAGGCTCTTTTCAAATGTAGAATTCAAGTTCTATATTTGGGGTAGGAAAATAGAAATATTAATTTTGGGGGCACCTGGGTGACTCAGCCGGTTAAGCATCTGCCTTCCGCTCAGTGGAGAGAGCCTGCTTCTCCCTCTCCTTTTGCCTGACACTCTGCCTACTTGTGCTCTCTGTCAAATAAAATAAAATCTTAAAAAAAAAGAGAAAGAAGTATTAATTTTGTCAAAGGATCCAAGTAATGCAGGCTATTAGCAGAGAAGCCAGGTATGGTGGAGTTTCAGCTACTTGTCCATCCAGAAATAAAGCAAATGATCCAAATCTCATTTGCTGGTGATCCATCTTCATATATTTACTATCAACCAAACTCCTAACAATTAAAAAAATTAGTGAAAAATAAAACCAATTTGTAATACCAAATTTTTAAAAATTAGTGTAAGTATGCTCCAAAAATCCTTTCCCATTTGTGCCATTTTTACCCGTTCATTTTCAGATTGCCTAATGCTGGTAAATAGCATAGCTTCATATTCAATTCTCATAATGAGGTACTATAAGGTGATCATTTAAATATTAGTATTTAAATTACTCTTTTTGAAGATAATAAAGTCTAAAAAGATTCATGGGCTGGATTCTAGGCTATGATTTTTTTGTGCCCATGAACTATTCATGCTAGTCTGATTTAATCACTTTAATATGGGATATTCATAAACAGCACAACTTAAAAGAATTTCTTTTTCCAAATTTCTAACAATATACTAGATAATTATTTTTCAAAGCCAAATAAAATTGATCTTCAAAGTCATCTTCCCTATTTTGTCAGCAATTAGGTGTTTGAGGCAAGCCTCTAGTACATCCAGTTATCTAAGAAAGTAAATTTGGTTTTTGACTTGGAATCAAACCATTATTTGGATACTATTTGGATGTTCTAATAATTTCAAACAACTCTCAGTTAAGCATTTTTCTTCAAGAATAATAAACTCAGATTTCTAGGTAGTAAACACTGACAAATAATTCATTTCACCAAATTTCCAAATGCTTTAAGCTATTAAGCAGTGCCACAAAATGGTGGAAAACCAAAATAATAAAATAAGACACATAATGGAACATTAAGAAAATATGTTTAGGGCAGCCCAGGTGGCACAGCAGTTTAGCGCCACCTTCAGTCCAGGGCTTGATCCTGGAGACTTGGGATCGAGTCCCATGTCGGGCTCCTTGCATGGAGCCTGCCTCTCCCTCTCTCTCTCTGTGTCTCTCATGAGTAAATAAATAAAGTATTTTTTTAAAGATTTACTTATTTATTTATGATAGAGAGAGAGAGAGGCAGAGACACAGGAGGAGGAAGAAGCAGGCTCCATGCTGGGAGCCTGACGTGGGACTTGATCCTGGGACTCCAGGATCGCGCCCTGGGCCAAAGGCAGGCGCCAAACCGCTGAGCCACCCAGGAATCCCCCTAAATAAAATCTTTAAAAAATAATTTAAAAAAGAAAATATGTTTAAACCACAATGTGACTTATTTTATCAGAACTTTTCCAATTTCCATCAGCTGGGAACAAGTTTTAACAAAGCTGGAAAGGACAAAGGAGAAAGATAATAGCCTTTGAGAGGAAGGGGAGAGGACACAGTGGAAAGCGAAACTTAGGAGAAACAAACTTGATCACAGGTTTTCTGAGTACCAATCCCTACTTAAATGTAACTGGGCTCAAATTGTTTTTGAGTACTTGTGTCCATGTTTTATGGTTTTCCTGTCTTCTTCCTCATTCTCAGGCTCTCAGCTATTAATTCTTGCGGCTATGAATATGCCTATCATTAACAGCTATCCCACTCCACTAGAAGAGGACTTTATTAACAGGGAAACTGAAGAAAAAAACTAAAAATTTAGTAGCACCATGGAGATAGCAGAAACTAGATGCTGAGAAACTATCATGAGAAAAGAACATGTATTCCAGCCCATCAACTCCATGATACTGATTTTGATGACTCAGATTATTTTTTGCTTTCTGTATGTTTTTTGGCTATGTTCCAGAGGTTTGAGGTTATCCCATAAATGTCTTCTGAATAGGAGATCTATCTATTCTTCTAAAGTACTTTAAAGTATGATACATTTCGGGATGGCTGGGTAGCTCAGCAGTTTGGAGCCTGCCTTCAGCCCAGGGTGTGGTCCTAGAGTCCGGGGATCGAGTCCCACATTGGGCTCCCTGCATGGAGCCTGCTTCTCCCTCTGCCTATGTCTCTGCCTCTCTCTCTTCCTATGTCTCTCATGAATAGATGGAAAAAAATCTTTTTTAAAAATAAAAATTAAAACATAAAGTATGATACATTTATCTCATAATTTCTTTACATAGCTAGTCCTACCAAGTGCAAAGATGAACCTACTTACAGTCTACCTCTAAATTCAAGAATTAATTAGTTCATGAATTTATAGCAAAAGAACTTTTGATTCATTTCACTTAAAAGAATCCATTTTTAAAATTCATTTTCAAAACGTAGCACATAAGCCACCAAATGTTATCTTCTCAAGGAAGATTTTTCTACCTTCAAGTTCAAAGAAAAATCATGAAATTAAAATATTAGATGAACACAAAAGGATAATAAAGCCACCTTTCTAACACTAATACAGTTCACTACCTAGTCCACAAAGACCAAGGAAATAATATCAAATGTGAATACCTTATCTTGATATGATTACTACACAGTACATATTTTACATTAGTACACACTTGAGCTAATTATACAGCTCAAGTTGCCACTTTCCTCACACTATTTTTAATATATTCTACAGCTGTATTCTACATCAAACAGAGATCTGATTTGATAAATTGGTAATCATTTAAAAATGACCCAATTTAAAATAAAAATAAAAATCTAGAATTCAGAATCTCTTAAATAACAGGATCTACGTTACAACACTAGTAGTCTTATTCTACTGTTTATATTTCATACCAAACATACCCTTAAAATAAGAACCTACATTTTCATATTTTAATTAAACATACAATTACACTAAACAGTGGGGCACTTAATAATAAATATAATAGCAAATTTCACTCTGTTACAGTGCTTATATGCATCAAGTGATGTTTTTCCAATCAGCTCATAGAAGGAAGGAATACAAAACTAGATTTTTAAGAATGTTAATAGCAATATTAATCTTTCCTTAATCATGAAATATTTATAACAAAGGTATGACTCAGATAAAATACAAAAGTACCCTTAAAATAAGTGACCAATAAGAATGTAACTGAAAAGGAAAATAACTTGATTCATCTTAATAGAGCATTCAAGAGAAATTAGATAATTTGTCCATGGCCCCAAAGATACATACATCTAGGTATCCACGCTGGAATAATGAATAGATAACATTTTACTTAAGAAATTCCAAGCCAGGGATGCCTGGGTGGTTTAGCGGCTGAGCATCTGCCTTCGGCTCAGGACGTGATCCCGGAGTCCTGGGATCGAGTCCCACATCGGGCTCCCTGCATGGAGCATGCTTCTCCCTCTGCCTGTGTCTCTGCCTCTCTCTCTCTCTGTGTTTCTCATAAATAAATAAATAAAATATGTTTTTAAAAATTCCAAGCCTTTTTTAGTATTAGAAATGACTTAAATTCAAAATTGAAAGGGAAAACATCATTTTTTTAAACAAAGTTCTCCTATTTAAATGGTTAGTCTAGTTTTTTGGGCTGGATTTTTACCTTTGAAAATTCTTCAGGTTCCTTTATATCTAATGACCGTGTTGCAAATTCTAGTAGTTCTTCTGAGTTCTCCAAGGCATTATTACATTGACTGAGCTGACTCTAAAAAACAATAATAAATCTTTAAAATAAAATTTCCTATTTCCATGAGAATCTTAAATATATATTGTTATAATGAACTTACAATTTTAATAGCAAAAATTGAACAAAAATATTTTAGAGAACTATTAAAGCAATATAATCACTAGTCATATATGTAACAAATTTTAACTATCTTAATATGTTGTACTAAACATCCTTCCAGAATTTGTTCAAAATAGCTAAATTGCATACAGATATACTCATCATTTAAAAATACAAAACAAAATAAAGCAATTATTTACTTAATTTACTTACAATTCTTCTCCATCAGGGCAGTCAGGGAACTAGCAAATATTTTTTAAACTATCAATAATTTAAATTAAAAAATCAAAATAGGGGTGGTGCCTGAGTGGCTCAGTAGGTTTTGAGTGTCTGCCTTCAGCTTAGGTTGTAATCCCGGGGTCCTGGGATCGAGCCCTGTATCAGACTTCCTGCTCAACAGAGAGTCTGCTTCTCCCTCTCCCCCTGACCTTCCTCCCCATTTGTATGCTCGCTGTCTCAAAATCTTTTAAAAAATTAAAATAAAATAAAAAATAATAAAATATCAAAATAATCCATCTGCAGACAACATCCTGTATAAATGAAGACTAAGTTTCTTTGATATTTAACAATTTAAAGTTTATGAATCAAGTGACAGATGCATGCAGTTGAGCACAACTTTAGTACTCCATATACCACATCAACCCAAGTAATACCTACTACCATAAATGCTAATTTATAATTTCCAAAATTTGGTAACATAGGAATCACAAATCCAAGTGACAGGATTCAAAAAGAATAAAGAGAAATAAAAGACAGTAACTGTTACAGTGATATGCTCTGTTATAGTGATGTATTAATTTCATGTACTAGTCTTTCTTATTCAGTTCTCTGTCACTCTATCATCTGTTGTCTAAAACTAAGCCCAGTCATGCAAAAATATTGTTAGTGATACTTTTAAGCAAAGAAACAGATCTATTTCTAAGTTTTTTAATGTATCCAAGATTCTACTTAGAATATTAGTATCTATTTATTACTATCTATTCCACATTCAAATCTACTTAGGTATCCCTTAAGTTCAGCACTAAAGATAAAACTATGGCTCATTTTATTGGTGTCTGGATGCGTTATATTTTTACTTTCGAAACATAGAATAGTTTTGCCAAATTTGAAGTTAAAATAGGTTTTCACGTGTTATTCTAAGAACCTAATCATAATTTCCTAAAAATACTATACTTCCTATAAGTAAAGCTCTCATGACTTCTTTATTTTTATTTTTTTTAATTTTTTTTTAATTTTTATTTATTTATGATAGTCACAGAGAGAGAGAAAGAGAGAGACAGAGACAGGGACAGAGACAGAGACACATGCAGAGGGAGAAGCAGGCTCCATGCACCGGGAGCCCGACGTGGGATTTGATCCCGGGTCTCCAGGGTCGCGCCCTGGGCCAAAGGCAGGCGCTTAAACCGCTGCGCCACCCAGGGTTCCCAGCTCTCATGACTTCTGAAGAATAATTAATAAACCACCATTTGAAATATCCCATTTGGATGAGAGCTTTATGAAAAATTTAAGCAAAATCACTCAGAAAAAAATGGTAGTTATTAATGGTCTACACAGGATCACTAGGGCAGACTAAGTTAATGTAGTATTAAAAGTAAAAGGTAACTAAAAGAATAAGGAGGGATGCGTGGGTGGCTCAGTAGTTGAGTGTCTGCCTTCAGCTGTCCCAGGATCAAGTCCCATATCTGGCTTCTTGCATGGAGCCTGCTTCTCCTGTCTCTGCCTCTCTCTGTGTCTCTCATGAATAAGTAAATAAAATCTTTTAAAAAAAATAAAAATAAAATAAAATAAAATAAATAAATAAAATCTTTTAAAAAAATAAGGAATATATCTCAAGGAATTATTAAAGTGAAAGAATCCAATCTGAGGTCAAAGTTTAAGATAAAATATCTTATTCTAAGAAAATGTTATGAGGGCATCTGGATGGCTCAGTTAAGCATCACCCTTCGGCTTAGGTCATGATCCCAGGGTTCTGGGATCCCTGCTCAGGGAGGAGTCGGCTGCTCCCTCTGTCTGCCCCCCTGCTTGTACATGCTCTCTCTCTCTCTCTCTAATAAATAAATAAAATCTTTAAAAAAAGAAACCTCTATGAATTTGCTTACAAAAGGGAAAGCTTAACAAAAAGGTACAAAGGAATACAATTAAAACAAGTTTGTGAACCCAAATGAAGAACAGAGATGTTCTACTGTCTCCAATTAAAGAATAAAATGGCATCGGTAGCCAAGTTATGATTTTTTTTTAATATTTGGTTTTTAAACTATCCCAATAAAGCTTTACCATTACCATTATGCTGATATTAAATTACCATTATGCTGATATTACCATAGCTTTTCCTTTGAATCATAACATAAGAATGAAGTTAACTAAATTTGTATTTCAACAACTCAGTCTTATTTTATAGCCTGCTATTCCCTAATACTTCTTCATCCCACCTAGATCACTACTCCTATGAAGAAACATTGCCAAAATTTTTGTAGCATTGAGAAAAGGCAAATATTAAGAGTTACAAAAGATAATTGGGTGTATAATTTTTAAAAAATGGAATCACTGGAAAAAATGAAGATCTCAAGTTATGCTACAGGAAGAAAAAATGGTCCTAACATCCTTGCAGTCACCACACCCAAACAGCATCATCTCACACTCATTAAGATGGCTACTACCAAAAAAATTTTTAAATGGATGAATGGGTGATGGTGGTCAAAAGGTACAAACTTCCGATTATAAAATAAGTCCTGGGGATGTAACATACAGTATAGTGAAAAGAATACTATATTGTATATTTTTTAAAGTAAGCTCTAAGACAGATGTGGGGCTTGAACTCATGGCCCTGAGATCAAGAGTCGCACGCTCTACTGACTGAGCCAGACAGATGCCCCTACTGTATTGTACATTTAAACATTGCTAAGAGAGTAGACCTTAACTTATCAAACTTCACACCCAAAAAAAAACAAAAAAATCCAGTCAAGAAATTGGCAGAGGACATGAACAGACATTTCTCCAAAGACAACACACAAATGGCTAACAGACAAATGAAAAAATGCTTTACTAACTAACATCACTTGGCATGAGGGAAATGCAAATCAAAACCACAATGAGATACCACCTCACACCTGTCAGAATGGCTAAAATTAATGACTCAGGAAACAACAGATGTTGATGAGGATGCAGAGAAAGGGAAACCCTCTTACATTGTTGGTGGGAAAGCAAACTGGTGCAGCCACTCTGGAAAACTGTATGGAGCTTCCTCAAAAAGTTAAAAATAGAGCTACTCTGTCCCAGCAATTGAACTACTAGGTATTTATCCAAAGGATACAAACACAGTGATTCAAAGGGGCACCTGCACCCCAATGTTTATAGCAGCAATGTCCATAACAGTCAAACTATGGAAAGAGCCCTGATGTCCATCAGCAGATGAATAAAGAAGATGTAATATATATACACAATGGAATATTACTCAGCCATCAAAAACAATGAAATCTTGCCATTTGTAATGATATGGATGGAACTATATGGTATTATGCTAAGTGAAATAAGTCAGAGAAAGATAAATACCATATGATTTCACTCACGTGTCGAATTTAAGAAACAAAACAGATGAACATAGGGGAAGGGAAGGAAAAATAAAATAAGATGAAATCAGAGGAGGAGGCAAAACCATAAGAGACAATGAACTTTAAGAAACAAACTGATAATTGCTGGAGGGGGTGGGGGGAACAGATAATCGGGTGATGGGCATTAAGGAGAGCACTTGATGGAAAGAGCATTGGGAGTTATATGCAACTGATAAATCACTAAATTCTACCTCTGAAACTGATGAAAAAAATGACATATGATTTAAAGCAGTAATTTGTGAATAGCCTCAGAGGAAAAAAAAGAGTAGATCTTAAAAGGTTCTCATTAGAAGAAAAAAAATGTGTAACTATGTGTAGTGTTGCATGCCAATATATATTTGCATACACACACACACACACAAACACACACACACACTTTCTTTATTCATATAAAGAAATATATAGGGCAGCCCAGGTAGCTCAGTGGTTTGGTGCCTACCTTCGGCCCAGGGCGTGATCCTGGAGACCTGGGATCGAGTCCCACATCAGGCTCCCTGCATGGAGCCTGCTTCTCCTTCTGCCTGTGTCTTTGCCTGCCTCTCTCTCTCTCTCTCTCTCTCTCTCTCTCTCATGAATAAATAAAATATTTTTAAAAATTGTTAGTTTAAAAAAAAAAAGAAATCTATACAAACGTACATATATACACATTTTATTCATATAAAGAAATATATATAAATGTACATACATACACATACACACATATATAGTGAAATATAATTCAGTCATAAAAAGGAAATTCTAGCACATATTGCAAGATGGACAAACTTTAAAGACATTACACTGAGTGAAATAAGCCAGTTACAGAAGGGGCAGATACTGAATTATTCCACTTATGTGAGGTTATTTGGAGTAATCAAAATCATGAAAACACACTAGTGGTTGCCAGTGGTGGGGTAAAAAGCAAATAGGTAGTTGTTGTTCAATGGGTATAGAGTTTCAGTTTTAAAGATAAAAAGTTCTAGAGATCTGTTACACAACAATGTCAATAGAGTTAACACTACTGAACTATACATTTTAAAATGGTTACAATGGTAAATCTTAGGTTTTTATCACCATTAAGAAAAAACAAGATATCTATGATGAAACCAAAAGTTAATCATTTTTCTACAAGATAAAAGTAGTTATTCACAGAAATTCACTCATTTTTTCTGTCAGTAAATCAAATATTAAACAGACTAAAGTTATCTATATTTAAATATGCTGCATGATCTCACCTGTAATTCTTGTGATTTACGAGCTTGTTCCTGCTTGATACTGTTAATCATACTTTCCTTCACCTCATCCAAAATAGAATATAAACTATCAAATTCTTCATCTAACTCCGAAAGTATGTTAGAAGAATTTTCCTGTTTAATAAACAAAACAATGATTTTTACTTGAAGAGCTGTCAAATATCTGAAAATTAAAAGATATGCTTACAAAAGACAGAACAGATTCACATTTATAAACTATCTCAAGCTAAAATCATATAAGCAAAAAAATTCTAACATTTGTTTTGTTTTTTCACCACACACAAATGGATTTTATTCCAGGACTTGAAGGAAATTTCAATTATTTGGAAACTTGCCAAAAAAATTATGAATTACAAAAATAAAGGACATGACCCATAAAATTAAATCAACAGATTTTTTTTAAGCCTTGATAGAACTTAGCAAGTCTAAGTATAATAATAATTGCTATAGTGGGTACTATGTGCCAAGTACTGTTTAAATACCTAACACTTATGAACTAATTTTATCCTAACAAGCACAGCTTTACTTTACAGATGGAAGAACTGACACACAATGAAGCTAAGTACCTTGCCCAAGGTCATACAACTAGAAAAGTGGTTGGACCCAGAATTTGAACAAGGGTACTAGGCACAAAGTCAGTATTCTTAACTAGTGTACTATCTTGCTTTTTCTAAAAGCAGGAATAGAGAGGCATCTGGTTGGCTCAGTCAATAGAGCATGCAGCTCTCATTCCTGAGGTCAAGCCCCACATATGCATGGAACCTACTTAATAATAAATCAATAATAAAAACAGGAATAGAAGGAAACTTCCTAAACACAATACAGTATTTATCAAAAACCAACAATGAAGTAACAGTGATGAGATTTCCAAGAATACATGGAAGATATCAATGAGGACCCTCTATGTGATATCCTACAATGAGATACCACTTCCATCTTTAGAAGCCTCTGGTCTGGAGGGGGGGAAGGGTATCATATCAATTTAAGGATGGTCCAACTGGAGCCCAGTGTTTTAAAAATTTATTAAACTGCTATATGAAAATTATTATCTATATGCAAAGGAGATATCATAACTAGCCTACCATAAGTTGATCTGAAAATACACACAGACACGTTAAGCTCAGAATAACTGACAAGGTAATTTAACAATAGTTGAACACTGTAGGGCCAACTAACTGAAAGCACTGAGGTCAAATGAGTACGAGTTTAAGAGGGAAGAAGAAGCATTTCAAGAAGGTCTTTCAGAGATGAGTGGGATCTGGAAAAATCTAAGGAACATTAGCAAAAAAGAAAAAAAGTTCTTCTTAGGGAACACAGTCCCTACCTAAATGATGACAGTTTGGATTAAAGTAGAAGTGTAAAAACTATACAGGGGAGGGCCTTGGCCAATATAAAGGAAAGAATTAATCCATCTTGCAATATAACTTACCTAAGTGATAGAACAGAGGGGGTGGAGTAGAATAAAAAATGTAATTAAAAATTCTAATATTTGATATATGCTTTAAAAACAGGTAAATCCTAGAAGCTGGCTGCTAATGCTGACAGCACTATCTCAGTTATGCTGAGTTAAGCATCTTTTATGGAGTAGCCCATACTCTCCTCTTTATCTTTTACAACACCATTTCCATAGGACAACATGAAAAATTGTTTTAAACTGCCAACTTTGTCCAGAATTTCCAGTTCCAAGGCAGACCCTAAGCCAGTGGTTCTCAACCTTTGTCATGCATCACAATCATCAATGAGCATTTTAATAAAATATTCCAGAAATTTTTTTCCATTAACTGAAGAACAGTTTGTGCACACAGGGGTGGGGCTAATTTTGCGTGAATGGTATGATTGTTCAGGTTGTCTAAAACAGTGCATTTACATAAGACATACAGAACTTACAAGACCAAACAATTCCTTACTGGACCTAAGAGATTTATCAAACATTGATTTTTAGTGCTCAAAGAACCTCACAAGTCATCTACTGACTAAAATTTGTAGTCAAACTCCTAAATTTTAGGAATTAAAATACAGAAGTGACTTGCCCAAAGCCAAACAACTAATTAATGATGGCAGAATCAATAAAACATTTCAAGCCTGTTGACGTCTCAGAGCTCCTCACTGCCACGTTAAGCAAGATGCTGCTATTTCAACAATAACTTAAAATATCTGTGAAATCTCTAGATAAGCAATAACCACACTTGCAGTAATTATGAGAAGAAATCATCTTAGGCATTTCTCAACTTAGATAAATCATTCAATTAAGAGAATTGGCACTGGTTAAGAAAACTAATATGTACAATCTACTGTAGTAACATAAACCAACCTTTGGTTATAATTTTTATAAAAATTAGATATTACCTCACTTGGAGTCTTACCAAAAATGGTATTAATCATTTTACTAATTGATTTGCAGTAATAAGAACAAGCTGTGGCAAAAGAAATGTGCAGTCTGGTAGGAAAAAGAACTAAGTCAAATCTCACATTAACCACTCAGTAACAGTGTGACCTTGGACAAGCCACTTAAATTCGTGGACCTTAGTTTACTTATCTGTAAAAAGAGAATGGACTACTTCTTGATAACCAATTGACACATACTTACAGTCTCTTACACTCTACCTCTTATGCCCTCATCTTCAGTGACAAGGTTGTAAATTCTCCCTCTAGTTTTCTTTCTAGGTTCTAAGGTAGAATACTAATAATTATTCATCAGAAAAATAGTTTGGGCTACCTCTAGCTTATGATCTCTTTTTCCAGATGTCAAATGTGATAATTCTCTTATATACAGATCAAGAGTCTTAGAACAACTAGCTTTGCTTATTTAAAGAAAGTGGATTTGTGGATTCACCAAATTTTCCAGTAAAAAAGTTTGAGAATGACAGTTAAAGTGATGAAGATCTTAATCGACCAACCTCAATTACAATAAATTCTGAAGTAAAGGAAATAACAAGGACCATAAAGTTTAACAAGCCAAGACCCAAGCAAAAACCTAGGTTCAAACAAACAAAAATCACAGGAAAGGATTTACTGTCTACTGGTGTCCTATATAACCAATAAATTCATTAAGGCACATTCATCCACATTTGATTACATACTATATGGATTATCTGCCCAAACCTGGAACCATTTCCTTAAATATTTCTCTTCCTCATTAGGCACGTTATTTTTAAAAGTTTAACTTTCTTCCAGTTCTGCAAGCAGACCTCTTACCAGCCACATTTTCCTTCCACTATTTACTGTAAAAGAAATGGTTAGCTTCCCACTACTCTGAAAACATGTAATTTGCTCTTAATTGGAATTATAAAACAATTATCTATAATGGAAAGGGTCAAAAGAAAGCACTGTAATATTCCCTACCAACTACTACTCCAGAGTTTTCTTCTTCCCCTACTATTTGATCTTTCCATAGAGAATACAAAAATAGTAAGGAAAACATTTTTCTTTATCTGCATTTAAAAACCATGCTCTCGGGATCCCTGGGTGGCGCAGCGGTTTAGCGCCTGCCTTTGGCCCAGGGCGCGATCCTGGAGACCTAGGATCAAATCCCACGTCAGGCTCCCGGTGCATGGAGCCTGCTTCTCCCTCTGCCTGTGTCTCTGCCTCTCTCTCTCTCTCTCTGTGACTATCATAAATAAATTTAAAAAATTTAAAAATAAATAAAAAATAAATAAAAACCATGCTCTCACCTTAATTTATAATCTAGAGTTGATGTAGTATATTCATGCTTCTGATTTGACCCAACATCATTCCTTGCAACATATTACACATTTTTTACACATTTTTAAAAAGATTCATACCTGTACTCCTTTTAGTGTTTGATTTAGTGTATCAATAAAGTTCTGAATTTCATCATTTTTATTTGCCAGAGTTGAAATGATCCTTTGTAGAGCTTCCTAGGATTAAAACAAATGAAACAAACAAAAACTTAACATCATGATATTTTAATAAAAGTATTAAGCATAACAATTCTCTCAACAAACCATATAAGAGGAGAAATGTAAAATTTCTCATTATCAAATTTCCAAAGGCCTATAATTACAAAAGATGGGATATGCATGTACTGTTTTAAAACTTCTTATTCCTGGTGTACAACTTAATCACCACCATACCTTTCATATTGAAGATAATCAATATAATTTAATGCCAATAGTATTATTTTAGGTAATAGGGCCAGAGGTAAGGAATAAAACCAAATCCTTAAATGCTGCAAAAACAAATGGAACTTCCTAATACAATATTAAGATATGAAGAATTTTTTAAAGAGCAGTAAAAGTTGACATTTTATTTATAAAAATAAACAAATAGCAAAGTAGATAAATTTGTAGCTAAAATTACAATATTCATTGCAGTATTTACAGATGCTATAAAACCATAATTAAAGAGTTAAGTAATTTTAATAGCAAGTATTTCAGATTTTTAAGATTTATTTATTTATCCATGAGAGAGAGAGAGAGAGGCAGAGACATAGGCAGAGGGAGAAGCAGGCTCCCCGTGGGGAGCCCGATGCAGGACCTGATCCCAAGATCCCAGGATCACTATCCCAGCCCAAGGCAGATGCTCAACCAATGAGCTACTCAGGTGCCCTACCTCAAAAGACTTTTTGATAATTCTATTTAAATAAAATACTTGGTTATTTAATCTTCTCATACTCTCCAGTTCAATACTATACAATTAAGTTTTCTGCTATGATACACGTAGCCTATACATGTGCTGTCCAATATGGTAGTCAATAGCTATATGAAGCTAATGAGCTCTTGAAATGTAGACAGAACTGAGGAACTGAGTTTACTGTTTTTACCTTTAATTATCTTCACGTTCTCTAGCCATATGTGACAAGTGCTGTCATACTGGACAGCATAGGTCTAGCTGTTCAGTAACTCTTCATGGGTAGTAAGAGCAAAATCCAAACAAGGTACTTGTATTCTCAGTAAGAATCAAATGCAAGTATTTTTACTTTATAATTTTCCCAGAAGCACAAGTCTTGTTTCTGTAAGTACCAGAAATATAAATATTTTAATAATATCATATAAGATTTTGTGATAAAGGTTCTCCTCAATATATAACCAGATATCAGTAAAGGGCTATATCTAAAGAGCTCTGGAAATAAACTGATAAAGAGATAGTATTTCATATAAATGCTCATAAGGCATTATAGTAGGAAAAATTAAAAATAATCGTAATAGTTCTCAATTTTCACAAGAATCCCTGAAGATAAGGAGGTTATTATCCTCATCCTTGAGGCTGCTCAGGGTTCTGTGTTATATATATTCATTTACTTATACTATTTTTCCCATTCTCACAGTTGGTAGTATTTTAGTATAAAATACAATGAAATTATGCTATGACAGAAGATCAATACCAAGAGTTAGCTGTTTATCCTGTTAGTGTTCTTTCCAGAAATAGGTGCACCAAGATTTTAATACAAAAACAACCAGCAGAGGGGCAGTATGAAGCCAGGATTTGGGGCAGAGGTGAGTACAGTTGTAAGGGCAAGAATGGTAGTACAGAGATAATAGAAAAAAGAGGGCAGAGGTCTTAAGAGGCTTCCAATTATTCATCCAAGGTAGGAGATATATATATATATATATTTTTTTTAAAACACAATGGAAGGGGCGCCTAGGTGGCTCAGGGAGTTAGGCATCTGCCTCCAGCTCAGGTTGTCATCTCAGGGTCCTGGGATCGAGCCCCACATTGGGCTCCCTGCTCAGCAGGGAGTCTGCTTCTCCCTCTCCTTTTATTCCCTCCCCACACACACAGTCGTGCTCTCTTTCTCTCTCACTCTCTCTCTCAAATAAATATTAAAAAAAACAATGGAAGAGTAGTAATGGTTCTGCATAATCATTGGAATGTGTAGAGTAAGCTTCAATGAAGACTGGGCTCTTTCTGGGGCCTTTGGGTAGTTCAGTCAGTTGAGGGTCCAGTCATGATCTTGGATTGTGAGATGAAGCCTGGGTCAGGCTCAGCGGGTAGTCTGCTTGGGATTCTCTCTCTCCCTCTGCTCCTCCCTCTTGCTCTTGTGCGCGTGCGCTCTCTCTCTCAAATAAATAAGTAAATATTTAAAAAATAAAAAAGAGACTGAGCTCTTTTTGGTAAATGGACTATAGCTGCCTCCTCCTTTATCTCTCCTAATGGCAGGGCTACATCCAAACTGTACAGATGATAAAATGGTAGTAACTGCTAGTAGGGTAAAAAATTATGCTCAGTCTGTTTACAAAGTCCATGCTGTTTACCACTTTAGAATACTGTTTCTAAGTCTAGCCAATTTGCCTATCATATGAAATATTCATATAATAAACTATATATTCTTTTTAAATTTTGGTTTGCTAAGCTTCTTCATGACATACAAAACTTAGAATTTACATAGTAAAGAATCACTGGTGGAGGTTAAGCTCTGTCCAGTGCTAAGCATACTCATGAACTTCAAGGTAAAGATGAGTCTTCCTAGAAGAGATTTTATCCCATGAAAAGGAGGAGTTAGACTCAATGAATTCAACTCAAAAACAAAATTTCAATCACATATATATATATATATATATATATATATATATATATGAGTCCAATAAAAACAAAGAAATTTCACCAAAGAACCTGTGAGGCACTGATACATAAAAAAGGCAGATCTAATTCAGAACAACAACAACAAAAGCCCACAAAGCCCAAAAAATTTCCCTAGTACAAAACAGCTTTTCATATTTTTGTCTGAGTTAAATAGAAAACTGTGTATTTGGGGAATTCTGCAGCAAAAATTCTTTGGAGACAGCTGAAGACTATTTGTCCCAACCAGGTAACCTCTAAGCTCCAAACATTTTAATTAGAAACCTCGTTTTAATGCTCCCTGCTATTAACTGAATATATAACTGAATTATAATAGCTGTATTTGAACATAAACTAAAATGCTACAATGTTACAACCAAATTCCTTTACTAGAATTTCACCAATTTCTCATTTTTTATTTATATAAACATTACCTTTAGAAATGGAAAAATAATATTATAACACTACCATCTCTCAAAACAAACAAAAAATGCATAAGCAGCTCTCCTTTTGGGATCCCTCTAAAAACATACATAACAAGAGAAAGACACTCCTCTCTCCTATAAAACTTATACTGCTTATTTACTTTAGTTGGAAAAAACTTAAATGTCCACATAAGACAAAAACAAAGCTGCACCTGAAGACACCTCACATGTAAGTTATATGAACTTAAAGAATCATCAGGATAATGCTGTCCTTTGTGTATGGTACTACTCCATACCTCCAAGACATAATACTGTGAGATTACAGTAATCTTATGGTAAAGACCATAAAAAAATCTAATGGTAAAGACTATTCCTTTTTAATTAATTCAAAACTCTGCCATTACCAGAAAATGAAAAGTCATCTTTCTCAATTTGTGTTGGCCCATGAAGAGTTAATAGCAATTTCTGGAAAGAAATCCTCTGATCTATGTGTTAAAGCTTTGGGGGTAATGGTATTCTAAATGAATTACCTAAAGCTTTAAAAATATCACACTCCCCCAGAAAGTAGTTGGGAAGGAAAGGTCTCTAAAGTGTGATATAGTATTTCAGGGAAACATCATCTCATTCTTTGAAGAGAAAATGCTTTGTGGCTCACATTTTGCACTTCAGTGGGAGTTCCAGTACAGAATTAGGGTCTACCACGGGACCCCTAAACAAAGGGCCCACATCCTGAGAAAGGCAGCTTACCTTACTGCCAAAGTAACAAAGACTGAAGTCTGAAATTCTCTGGGGGGGGGGGGTGGTATTACTCCAATCTCTAGGTAGGGAGAGCTTCAGAGCCTTTGCTATAATGTACACCACTGAGATGCTGTATGAATGGACAAGCCAGCTGTAAAGGGCTTTGGAGACTCAGCATTTAAGGTGACCTGTATTTTAACAGCTACCAAATGCATTAGAAAACATGGCTGCAGTGGGGCACCTGGGTAGCTCAGTCAGTTAAGTGCCTGCTTTCTGCCTTCAGTTCAGGTCATGATCTCAAGGTCCTGGGATCAAGCCCCACATGGGACTCCCTGCTCACTGGACAATCTGCTTCTCCCTCTCCCTCTGACCTTCCCTACACTTGTTCTTTCTCTCACTCTCTCAAATAAATAAAATCTTAAAAATAAGAAGAAGAAAAAAAAAACCCGAAAAAACAATCATCCAGGTGAATAAGAGAACCCAAAGCAACCAATGCGACCTTGGTAGCTAATACAGATAATGAGCTGCCTCTATCCTAAGCTTTTTTCTTTTCTTTTTTTTAAAGTTTTTTTTATTTATTTATTTATAAGAAACACAGAGAGAAAGGCAGAGACACAGGCAGAGGGAGAAGCAGGCTCCCTCCAGGGAGCCCAATGTGGGACTCAATCCCCCAACCAAGGATCATGCCCTGAGCTTAGGGCAGATGCTCAACCACTGAGCCACCCAAGCGTCCCAACTCTAAGCTTTTCTAAGAAAAAAGGGATGTATCATGAAAGTTCTCCAAGAATAGACTGCTGAAGAGCTCCAGAAGCTCTGAAGCCACTTTCCCTTTAATCTGGAGAGAATGAGCAAATGCAAGACTGTAATCAAGAACTCACATTTAGTATTCTCCTATAGTCAAAGTTCATCAGGAAGGGATGAGAAATAAATAATCAAGGGGACCAAGGCTTCAATCATTCTGGTCCTCACAAGAACAGGGACTGGCTAGACTAAGGGTGAAAATGGCATGAAGACAGAAAGAACTAAGGAACTTGGGACTGAGTAGAACTGGAAAACAAATACAAGTCACCAAAAATTTTAAGTACCACCACCAATACCAAAACTTATAAAAACTAAAGGATAAGGATTACATGAACTGAGTTCTGAAACTCAACTCTATCTTGTGTATGTGATATGAGGTGAGGATAAAGTTTTCTGTAGGTAGTAAGAGTCAGAAGAAAGGTGTATACAGCGATAGTGTGTGCCTAATATAATAGGCATACAACAGGAGACTAGCTAAATATGTTCCAAATCCAGTATAAATTTGTTAAAGTGTTTTCTAAATATGACAGGCAACATGCCAGGGCAGGATATCTATATTCAGAAACTTAGAGAAAGAGAAAAGAATTAAAAGATACCATAATCTTTTGAGTTTTCTACCCCACTTTATCCCTTTAGGGCCTCCACAATTAATCAATAGCTTTTAAAATGGAGACGCAGTAATTGATAAAGAAGTTGAAGAGGAAGCACAAAGCCAAAAGTCTCAATGAATGTAACGTAAGCTGTGCACAATCAGTGCACCAGTAGATGCAGAGCCTCTTCTCTGAGCCCCAGATCATCTTCATACAACTGCTTACTTAGAATCTCCATCTGGATGTCTCATAAGCACTTCAAAACTCAACGTGTCATAATGTCCCCCACTAAACCTAAGCCCTTTTCTAGTGTTCTATCTCTGCAATGGTGGTGCTAGCTGCAAAATCAGAAACCTAGGCTGCCATCATCATTACATCCCCCTCCTCTCATTTGTGCTCTACATGTAGTCACCAAGTCCTGTGGATTTTACCTCTTAAGTAGTTCTGTAATTAATACTACTACCTTAGCATAAGTCAGTAACATATTTCAACTTATACTCTTGTGAAACTTAACTAGCTTGTGATCCATTTTTTTCTCCCCAACAATCAGTTCTGAATACTGCAGCGAGAATAATATGATAGCATCACTCTTCCTGCTTAATTTAGTCTTCAACGGCTTCCTTGGATAAAACTGAAAGTCTTGGGACATCTGGGTGGCTCAGTGTTTGAGTGTCTGCCTTTGGCTCAGGGCATGATCCGGAGATTGAGTCCCATGTTGGGCTCCCTGCATGGAGTCTGCTTCTCCCTTTGCCTATGTCTCTGCCTCTGTGTGTGTCTCTCATGAATAAATAAATAAAATCTTTTTAAAAACCCTGTAAATCTTTTAACATGATGTTAACATGACCTTATATAATCTGTAAACCCCTCCATGATCTTCCCGGTGCCAACCTCTCCTGCTTCAGCTCACACCAGACTTCCTCTTTCTTGCTACATTCCAGCTACAGCAGCCTGCTGTGAGTTTCTCTAATATGCCTTGTTTCCCACCTGGGAACCTTCACACCTATCAGTTCTTCTGCCTATAAACACTGTTCGAAAATGTATACACAACGTATTGTTAAAAAAAAGTTCCATCATTAAGATAAGTTCCAAAAAGGTATTTATGGAATGGACTTATTGTAGAATACATTTGCGTCAATTATTATCAAAACCTGATGATAGACGGCACCTGCTCTGTCGGATTCTACCAATGTGAAAGGATGCCTACAAGGATCTCAGATTTCACCTCAGACCTCAAGTCTCCCATTACCTTTCAATATAATTATATTAGGAGACTTCAGGTGGCCATGACTAAAGTTCTAGGTGATACAGGTCTGAAGATGTGCTTCGCCAAATACCAAATTTGCTGGATCACAATAAAATACATAGGGCATATATCTCTAAAAGAAGTGTGCACAGGCAATCTCAGCCATTATCCTTTGGTCAAGAACCACAGTTACCAGGACCTCAAAAATCTACTATATCAGGATTAAGCCTCTCAATTACCTGACAAGGGAAACTGGCTCAGATAAGTGCTATGCTAACAAACACAAAAAAAAGGGAGGGGGGCTATATACCTCTCCAAGCACAATTGCAATCATTCCCATGGAATGGATCAAAAATTTAGGATGCTGAGATGTGCAAGGCATGAGGTATCTTCTTCAAAGAAGCATAGCTTAATATTATGCTGATAGTCACAATCGTGAAGTAAAGGCACAATCAACAGTCTCTTCCGCAAAATAACACTTTTATACTCTTAAGTATAGCACCATTTTAAGCTCTTTACATATATTAATTCATTTAACCCTCTCAAGAATCCTATGAAGTAGGACACTAATATTATCCCCATTTTCCAATTTGGAAGCTGAGATATAGAGAGGTTAAATAATAGTTTGCTCAGGACCTCCATGCTAACATGTGGCAGAGCCTGGATTCAAATTAAGGCAGTCTCACTCCTAACTCTGTGCTCTTAATTATTACACTATTACCTGAAAATAAAGATGAGAGGTAAATTAAAAGAGTATCTAAGGGCACCAAAAAGACTAAGATTTTACTTCAAGACTGTAAAAACTGGAGCTGATTAGCAGATTGTAACATATACCACCCTGCCAGATACAAGAGGAACAAAAACAGCTATTCTTACTACAGGCATCTTATTAAGCCTGAGAACATAATGACTTTCAACATTTGAAAGGGCACGGTTCTACTCGTTTTAGCTTAATATATGTGAAGATGCCAAATTCAAATATTGAGTGTTAATTCTGCTACATCCAACAAAAACTCTGCCAAGTTGGATTACTTACTTAGAAACTATCCAGTGCGGTAAGTTCCTGAAATTACGTAGCAGAAACCTCCTATTCTTAGAACCAGTGGCAGAAATTCATTATACCCAGATTTATATGCTAGTCTGAATTTGAGGACCTCAATGACCAAGCAGTCATAATTAGAGAAACACCCTGATATATAAATTTCCGACCAGCATCTACTCACACTGACAAGATCTCTGATTCAAATTCTACATTAGTATTCCAGACCATCAAAATACACAAATCTAGAATCACTGCAAATATCACTAATCAATCTACAATTTAAGAAGGTCAAACTATTCTTATGGCCATTTCAGTAGTATTCACTAAGCACATAGAAAGTGTGCCAGATGCTATGCTAAACATAATAGATTTTTAAAAAGCGTTATCAGTCTTTGCATTTAACGGCTCAAGAAAAGGAAAGTAAGAGAAGAAATTCTCTTACAAAAAATTAGAAATAGAAAAAAAAAGAAATTTTCTTACATCACATAGCTATCAAGTGGCAGTCACAATCCAAATCTAGGAAGCTGCCTCTATTTTCATAGTACCCTAGGCTGCTTACACTGCCATGGACTGTACATAACAAGCATAGTGTTCCTGCAATTAGAGTAAAGGGATCAATGAAATCAGGATATAGCATTTCTGGAAAACATCCTTATGCCACCAGAAATGATACCACTTGCATCACACCACACCATAGACTTTTCCTTTGAATTAGGTAACAAGAACTGAAATCCAGAAAGTTCTATCCAGCTGGTAATCTAGACAATCAGAATCTCACCAGCTGACCATAGCTCTGGCAACACAAATAAGAGTATTATGCTCAGATGTTATATGAAGAACTGAAAAAGGAGAATTATATATTGCTGAGGAATTCAGGAATCTGATCATAACTGGTAGAAAGCCATGCCCTCTTTTATCAGTGAAACAGTTAGGAACACCACCTGTTTACAGAGGCAACTGAGGTGATCCACAGAAAAAAATCTAATAAAAGACCTGGTGGGAAATGCTGCCTTTCAACCCTGAACCCAGCTGGAAGATATGAGGACAGAAGAGGTACTCTCTCACCTAGGATTTGAAGAAATATAATGAATTACAACCTAAAGAAGCTTTACCCTTGCACAGTGACCTCTGAATTGGCTGTTCCATTCAGTGAAGTCTAGGAAGCTCATATTCAGCCAGAGAAACCAGAGGTCCCACCATCTGAGGGAGCTGCAAAGGGAATGAAGACAGGGTACACTCAGGTTCTGCTGGTGGCAATACAAACTAACAACGCTTGTCTCTTTTTTTTTTTTTTAAGATTTTATTTATTCACAAGAGACAGAGAGAGAGAGGGGCACAGACACAGGCAGAGGGAGAAGCAGAACAACCCTTCTCAAGGGCAACATGGCAATATTTACCAAAAGATTTTTAAAACTTTAGACAGATTGACTCAGTAATTCCATTTCTACTAAATTTATTCTAAGTTGGGACGCCTGGGTGGCTCAGCAGTTTAGCGCCTGCCTATGGCCCAGGACATGATCCTAGAGTTCCAAGATTGAGTCCCACTTTGGGCTCCCTGCATGGAGCCTGCTTCTCCCTCTGCCTGTGTTTATGCCTCTCTCTCTCTCTCTCTCATGAATAAATAAAATCTTTTTAAAAGTAAATGAATAGGGCAGCCCAGGTGGCTCAATGGTTTAGCGCCGCCTTCAGCCCAGGGCCTGATCATCCTGGGGACCCGGGATCAAGTCCCACGTCGGACTCCCTGCATGGAGCCTGCTTCTTCCTCTGCCTGTGTCTCTGCCTCTCTCTCTCTGTGTCTCTCATGAATAAATAAATAAAATCTTTAAAAAAAAAAAGTAAGTAAATAAATAAATAAATAAATAGATTTATTCTAAGTAAATAACTAAAGGTATAAACAGAGACTTGACTATAAGATATTTGTCTCAGTGTTATTTATAACACAAGAAGGTTGGGACCAACATAAACATACAATAAAGAGTACTGATTAAAAATCAAGTAATATACAGCCATACAAAAGAATTCTGAATTAAGTGCTGTAGAATATTAACATGGTAAAAGATTTATAATGTATTAATTGAAAGGCAAATTAGAAAACAGTATTGCCATACATGATACCATAGTCTAAGTTCTATATACATTTAAAAACTGGAATGCAATACATACAAATGCTAAAACAGGTTATCCATGAGTGGCAGGATTTGGGTGATTTTTCATTTTATTTTCATTTATCTGTATTTCCTATTTTCCTACAATAAGTTTGTATTAATTATAATGTAACAAAAGTGCATAGACTGGCTGTGCTAACTCCTAGTTATATAAATTAGCTAAAAATATAATTAGCTATCAATCAATAAGTATCAATAACTAAAACCAGATTCTACCAGAACCCTGTGGCTGAGAAGAGTGTCAAAAAAAGAAAGCTGGAGACAAAATCTACCTACTTTAAAATACTGTCCACCGTAGCTTAGAGTGGATTACCTATCATCATGGCAAACACTCAGTATGTGTTTACTGCATGCTTAATCCTGTTTACATTCAGCCAGGCATTGCAAAGAAGCACTGTATTAAAATGAACATTTTTTTAAAAAAATCTGCTTCACCATTGACCCTTGAATTGCCTGGGTTGGAACTGTGCCAGTGCACTTATAAATGGACTTTTTTCAGTTCAGTACTGTAAATATATTTTCCCTTTCTTATAATTTTCTTAACATTTTCTTTGCACTAGCTTACTGTACCATAAGCTCTAGCTTAATGTACCATATACTGTAAGAATAGAGTATATGGTACATATAACATACAAAATATATGCTCAATGACTGTTTATGTTATCCATAGGCTTCCAGTTTACTGTTTCAGTCAACAGCAGGCTATCTGTAGTTAAGTTTTGGGGGAGTCAAAAGTTATATGCATATATATTTCCAACTGAATCAGGGGCATGTCAGCACCCCTAACCCCTGTGCTGTTCAAGGGTCAATTGTATTTCCAATTTTTTAAAACTTCCAAGTTCAATAAAAAATGAATAAATCTGTATTTAAATATAGTGATCAAGAGTATGTCAGTATGGTCCTTTGAAAAGGGTTCCTCATGCCTGTACATCCCAGATTACTTTGATCCATTCCCTGGGAATAACTGTGGTTGCATTTGGGTAGGATACATAAAACTCCACTTCCTGTTCACAGCTCTACTTTAGAAAGCTAAGACATTCCCTCAAAAAAGAAGAGCTAGAGAGAGAGGATACACACACCTACACACACACACACACACACACACACACACACACACACGAAAAATAATGATTGTATACAGGGCATCAAGAGAGACCAAATTCCAGAGTTTTATATAAATCATGTCCTAGGGATGCCTGGGTGGCTCAGCGGTTTGGCACACCTTTGGTGCAGGGCGTGATCCTAGAGTCCCAGGATCCAGTCCCACATCGGGCGTCCTGCATGGAGCCTGCTTCTCCCTCTGCCTGTGTCTCTGCCTCTCTGTGTGTGTGTGTGTCTCTCATGAATAAATAAATAAAATCATTTAAAAAATCATGTTCTACTCTTTCTATCAACGATTCTCACTAGATTTAATTAGCTTCTTTAAAAAAACTACTTTATGGTGGCACCTGGATGGCTAAAGTTAGCTAAACGCCTGCCTTCGGCTCAGGTCTTGGTCCTGGGATCCAGCCCAAGGTCAAGGCTCCCTTCTCAGTGGGAGCTCTCTGTTTTGCCTTTTCCCTCTGCCCCTCCCGCTGCTCGTGCTCTCTCTCTCTTTCTCTCAAATAAATAAAAAATAAATACTTTAATTTTATTTATTTGAGAGAGAGCGACTGAGCAGGAGCAGGGGGAGGGGCAAAGGAAGAAGCTGACTCCCCACTGAGTCTGCAGCCACTCAATGACTGGGCCACCCAGGTGCCTCTAAAATCCTTTTTAAAAAACTCTATTTATAGGAATTTGTTCCTAATAACAACTTAAATTTTAATTAATCATATCACATTAAAGACAAAAGATTCAGTAAAGAAGGGTGGTAATGAAAAAAGCTTGGGCTGTGAAAACCAGGTTTGAATCTAGACTATCACTTGCTAGCTGTGCAACTTTGAACAAGTCAGCCTCTGAGTTTGGCTTTCCATATAGATGTGCAACAGGAATAAGAGCTATCATGAAAGTGTAAAGCAATCTAACACAACACTGGATGCAGAACAATACTCAAATTTTATTTTTCTTTCCTTTCTTCAGGGAATAATATTTTCTTGACTGAGAAAAGGAAGTAATTTCTGAACATGAAATGGCTGGTTATATGGATATGGTGGAGGTCTCTGAATTGCTAAGGTACAATGAAGGAAAAGAATGAATACCAGGGTAGAGGAGGAAACTCTAGAGGTAGAGGAGGGATAAGGAAGCCACATGCAGACAGCTACTTGCTACGGCTTGTCATGCTTTAAAACCAATCCTATTCAGTTCATGTGTTCACCCAATCTTCATGTGTCCAGTCTTGAGTCACTACCACTTTCTAAGTAGAAAGTAAAGAATATGCAGGAAAAGGCAGGGAAATCCACCAAAAAAACAAACCCTCCCCCAAAAAGTATGCTCTTAGCACCATCCTGGGAGAAATTAGGGAGGAAGGCTAGGGAGTGAGGGAGGCCTAGGGAGGGAGGTTAGGGAGGCTAGGAAGGGAGATTAGGGAGGTTAGGGAGGGAGGCTAGGGAGCATGTCTCCCCCCAAAAATATGCTCTTAGCACCATCCTTCTTCTGGGCTCCACCTTTACTATTCCTACAGCATGTACCTTTCCTAGAAACAGCAATCCCTATGAATACAAATGATGTCCTGTGCAAAACCTTAAACTATCAAATTCTAAGGGCCAAGATTGTAGAAAGGTGTAAATGTCTTTTGTTTCATTGGTTTCTTTGAACGTATGTATTTAATCAGGTATGGAAACCTTTGGGATTTTATCTTAAAACCACTTAAGGACATAATCAAAAGGTTTGGGTATTGAACAAAGCCACCTATCTGTAACACATCCTGTTGGCAAAAGTGTCCCAGAAACTGGATATAAACAAAATTCTTCTGTTTATTTCTAAGAGAGAATACTGTAGTTTTCTGTATCCAACAGTATGCCTTACGTACCCAAGGCAATTATGTTTTCTTCCTCTACTCAAATAGAGCATCTGTTGCTAACACAACACTGAAGTCCAAGTTATTTTCACAGACAAAAAAGCAGCTGGTCAAGCTAATCCATCTGCTGACTAGCCACCATCCAGCTTCTGTAAGACTGTCCAGTTAACTTAACCCCTATTGTCAGACTGCATGAGTCAGAACTCCGAATCCTCTTTCAATTAGAATTCAACAACTCTTCTTTGACACCATCATTTGAAATCACTTATTACAGATATAAAAACAGAAAACATGTTTTAAAACTTAAGAACAAAGGTTAAAAATTGGTAGGCTGGATTAGAAAAAAATAGTTATACAAATTATCAACAAAAGGAGAAAGTTATTTTCAAGTTGGGATTATGAAATTCATAACAACAGCCAGCAGTACTTAAGTGCGCTAGGCACCAAGGATTTTTAAAAATTAACATGATCCTCACAATAACCCATAATAATGAGGTAAGTATAATTGTTATCTCTATTCTACAGATGATAGAGACACACAGAAAATTACCCAAGCTCATTCAACTCATTGATAGTAGTAGGACTGAAGACTTGTCTCCAAAGTCACCCTCTTAATAATTTAAAGGCCAAATCCCAGTGCCTTACTATCAAGTATATATTCAAGCCATCCTCACCATTTGCCATTTGCAGTACCTTACTATTTTCCTTACAATGACTAAAGTACCATCCCTTACAATGACTAAAGTACCTATTTTCATTGTAACGTTCTATAACAGGGAAGAAAAAGCATGCTAGGGGTGTACTATTTACATAGAGAGAAATAAATACACAGTTTATTATCAGTTGAGGTATATAATGGATTCTGCAGTAATTCATGAGAAAGATGCTCAAATTCATAATAAATTGGTTATAAGCATTAAGATTTTAAGCTATAAGACAAATAGTTTTTTTATTGGAAATATTATTTTTTCTAGAAATAGTATTTGATACCAACAGGTGAAATGACATTCAACACATATTCTAGTGTTGAGAGGTTGATTTTCAAAGTTCTCACAAAGAACACCTAATTCT